TTTCTAATGATTATAGTTGAGCACTTTGCGTGCAAAAGAGATTTGAAGGTGGTTACAAAGCTCTATATTCATTGTTAAATGGGTGTAGAAGAGCTCATCTAGTGTCTTGGAGTCTTAGTGAATTTTTATTCAGAAGCTTAGTGTTGCCTTTAGTATTGTATGGAATCCAAGTGTGGGGTTCTGGTTGTAAGAAGACAGGTTGGGAGCGTGTGGAAAGGGTGTGGAGAGGCTGCAAAAGATATTTCTACAAGAAGAATTGGGTGTGAGAAACCAAACTTCATATGTTATTCTTCTTGCGGAAACAGGTTGTTTACCTCTAGCGGCTGAAGCTCTATACTTGACCATCACTTACATCAGAAGGGTGAGATCTCTTGATGCTTCTCGCCTTCCTACTCAAGCTTTGAGTGCCACACATGCCAAAGTATGGTTAGAGTATGTGATAACTTGGTCTTTGAGGTGGAATGTGACTGAACGCGATTGGGACTTGCAACCTATAGCACTACGTGAACGTCTAAAGGAGGAGTTTTTGAACATTATTTGGAGCAAGCGCGACACAAAGATGCAGTTTTATCAACTTCATGTGAATCTTATGCTTGTTTATTGTAAACAGTATTACCTACTTGCAAGAATCTCTACGTCCTTACATCATATTATTGCTAGGCATAGAACTGTATCTCATAGGCTTGGAATTGAGGAAGTACGTTGGCTTAATATTGATAGGAGTGAACGTATTTGTAGGCTATGTGATGGAAGAGAAGTTGAGAATGAAGAACATGTATTTCTTACTTGTACTAGATATGTGGAGATTAGAGTGTCTGATAATATAAATGTAGAGAATTTCTATTCTTTGTTACAGTTAGTTCCTTTTGATTTAGGTTGTTATATTAGGGACATTATTAGTTATCATTCTAGTGCTTTTGGCACTAGTTAGGGATTGGCCTTTGGGGTCTTTTTCCCTTGTTTGTGATTGTAGCTTGTATTGTGTTTTTCGGCCTTTTGACACTTTGGGTCCCCGGGCTTGATCTATTATCATTTACCATTTTAAAGGGGGGAAATAAAAGAATAAAAGCACGAAAGATGATCAGAGAGTTTCAGCTCCTCTTAGTTGTAACCTTATATTAAGATGTGTATGATATGAAAGTACTAAAAATAGATCAATATACCTTCTTCACAACGGCTTATTTTATAATATCCCGACTTATCTCAAACCAAAGTTGTATGTTCAACTGGATCTCAAATTCAAAATTTGTACTTGATCTGGTATATGGAAATGTTGGAGAGAATTGTGTTAATAATCGTTAATAATGAAATGCAAGCTTGTTAATGTAAAGTTTAAAACAACTATCAAGGCAGTGTTTTGTAAATAGATGTAAATGGGGTTTGGTTCCTGATTGAAAGTTTGACAAATGGGATTTGTCAATGAAACTTTCTACAGATCAAACATGAGTTCAAAAGTTTGTGCAAGAGTCTTTCCGAGCAAAGACATATTCTCACCTCACTCCGAGTGGATCAGAGAGACGGCACATCCACGTCATACTATAGTATGAAGTGGATGTGTCGTGCTGGGGGAACTCATCGATGTTAACCTAAGCAACTCAACACAATTGGTTGTTGCGACTCTGTATGCTTTATTTAATGCCCGGGTATTGCACTTGGCCAATAATCTATCTGTGACGTTGTTGCATCCCTTTTGTCCAAATTAAAGATATTAGCTTCTGTAACTTCGATGTCACATTGCAAAGTCAACGGCTGCAACGTCCAGGAACATGAAGCCTATTTCTTAAGGTCCAATTACAATTTCTCAACTTCTTGTGCTAGGTCAGAGATTATACAGTTTCAGATACAACTGTTTGTTTTGTTTGATATGACGATATGGCAGATGAATGTCCATACGTTACAATGACTCTCCATACGTTAATGTAGTGGATAGTTTTTGTGCGTAACTAAGTAATGCACATAAAATAATAAATTGATGAATATATATGTTTATTTATTTATATATACTCTCTTACCTACTTCTGGTACTTTACTGCTCTTATATACTTCTGGCAAAAGAGCTGGTGAAACGTATATAAATTAAATCGTAAAACGCTCCCCCTCGACCAGTGGGGGAGCGCTTTACGAATAAAGGGCTTAAGCTCTCGAACCAATAGCGGATAGTAAAAATATATGTTTTTTATTGACTTGTCACGCGGCTCGGTGAATGTACTTTTGACTTTACATATGTAGGCAACCGATGTATGCTACAGTTCACCTACTATAATTACACGAACGTTAGTCAACTCCGTTCTCAGGAATTTAATTTGATCGTCTACATTTACCATATGTAAATTGATCAATGTGTATCTCACTCCATATTTAATAACTGTGATTTCTCCAATAATATGTTTCAGTATAATATACTCTAGTTACGGAAATACATATATATCGATAAACAGGTGAACGTGATGTCGGCTATGTTCTGCGTAGAATTCACAATTTCGTGTTGGTTTGGACCTCTTTGATTGCAGTTGAGTAAGACATCACTTTGCCATACCAGATTGATATTTCTTTTGGTTGTGGCGAGTTGAATAAGATTTCTAAATAGTGACGATGTTGGTTCTTAAAAAGAGAGTACCAAATTGGGACTCGTATTCTTTATATCATGATATTTTATATAGGAAGTTACACATTGTAAAAATTAAAAAAATGAAGTACTAAAACTTTGATCATCATAGCTATTGATTTTAGATGTCAATGGTCTAATGCCATAAATTTGTATCTACCTGTTCTGCTGATAGAGATTTGAAACAAGAATGAGCGATTTAAAGACATTTATATCTATACGTATATAAAATACTCGAAAACAGACAACACAGATTTACCATAACAAATGTTACTAAAATGTAGACTTATAGCCTAGAAGTCTACCCTATAAGTTATAGGGTATGTTCATCCACTGGCGGGCATGACGAAAGAACGAAATTTAGTTTGCGCTATCTTGACGAAAAGTCTTACCAAGAAGTAGGTACCGTCAGGAGTTACAGAATAAGTAGATTTTGATCCAGAGTGATCCAAGGTCCTCGCAATGAATTCAAATGCACATTTATGGCTTTCCAGTAAGATATCCTGGACAATTAATAGTTTTTTCCCAATGCTAAAAACAGTGCAATACTTTGAAATGATATGAATGAATGAATGAGTGACTAAATCCAGGACACCCACAATAAGGAAACGTTGACACGTCGAATGTTAGATCGAGATATGCATTTGGAACACTAATAAATTACCGAATGTATTGAAAATGGCACGTACATGTTTATCCATATATCCATACATAGAATCACAACAAGTAGGTTTGCTTTTCTTTATCATCTTAAAACGTCCGCAAGAGGATTCCCCTCAAATGAAACCCCTCAAATATTCCTACAACCAAACTGCAGGATCCAGACTTTGTAGAAATGAGAGAAGGCGTCAGTAAAGTGCAGTATGGTACGCTGTAGCTTTGGATGTGCGGAGATAGAAGGCTCATAGTACCAGAATACGAAAGTCTCCAGTCCCTTTTGCAAGTCATATCGTAACCCGAAAGCCATCAGGCACTAAAAGTTGAATAAATAAAAATTATTGTAGCCATTAGATTAGTGCAGTGTTATACAGGGCAAGCGTATGGATTTAAGGGCCATCTATATGACTTGGCTAGACTGGACTGAACACATCTTTCAGTTGTTGGTGTTCGCTGCTAGCACAGAGATTTCACAGTGCCAGGTGACGAAATCGAGAGTGGCCATGTTAGATAGAGTCTTAGAGAGGATGCCGGTGGTTAGAAGACTGGCCTGAAATCGTCCTCGAGCCATGGGAAAGGAATAAGTTAGTCGTCAGCCAACTCTTTTTCTTGAATGACGAGATTTCGCAGGCTTCACTGAACAGGATGTAGTAATAACATATTAAATTCCAGATGCGACTTAGACAAGCACGTACAGGTTTTGTTTCTCGACGAGGTTCTTCAGAGTTGTAAAGTATGGTGATTCGTAGCGCACAATGATCATCGTGCAGCGATTTATTCCAACGTTTTGACCGACGGGTTTTGTGCAGCTGAAATCTTCAGCTATTCCAGGGTTTTCTAGGCGAGGTCTGGTGAGTTGTAGCGCCATCAGACTAGACCCATATCATATAATAGCATGTAGTCTCGAGCCACATACTCGATCCAGCTATCGCAAGCTTTCCAGGATTTGACTTCCGACACATGCAACGCCACTTCAGCGGTGGAGCTGAGTTCTAGCAGATTTCCCTCTTGATCTGGTAACGGTCTCTTCTAATACTTCCATAGTTTTTTGGTCGCGCGAGAGGCAAGCCTCCTGTTTACGTGAGCTTGCTAGATGGCCTAGTCTAGCAACCTAGTCTCATCGGCCTGTCGGAGGGCAATGAGACAGTCCATCTCTCCAGCCAATATGTTTTACAGTCAAGGAAGTAAACCAAAATACTGCACATCGCTCGGGTTTCGAGAGCAGATGAACCTCAGAGTCTCGGAGGCATGCAACAGCTACTCGCTTTCGCTATGCCTCCGGTGGGTTCCCTTAACCCGGCGACTGCCTTCAAGTCGCCCGGCTCATTCTTGCAGAGGAACGCGGTCAGAGATTTTAGTCTCCTCCGCCAATCTATATTGCATTTGCTTGGGCAGGAAAAATGCTTCGCATCAAATGTGAAAAACAACTGTCCCTCTTTCAAGAACAGATTTGCCAATCGAAAATTCCCGAATGGCTCGATTGCGGCGTTTGATGCGCATAATCTGGGCACGAAAGATGATCCAGATTGAGAAATATCCTGGATCAGAAACCGAGCACGTTCTAATTCAAAGCCGTCTCGAGCCAGAAATATATATACTTTGTCTGATAATGAAGGGCAGAAGCGGTTTGCAACTGTCGACCGGAACAGTATGAGACAGGAATATTTATAGCCACATAAACACGCTGATTCCAAACTCACTGGTCCTCCAGCCAGAGTAATACCAACTTTATTCAGGGGAGGGTAAGAAGTGGATGCAGTCACATACATCACAGTGAGGTTGTGTTATTTGGAAAACACAGAATCATGGGCAAGAATTTAGGAAATTATCCTCAGCTGTGATCCGCGATTCCAGATGACAGGAGTACAGTAGCTAGGACGTCGCCGATCGATAAAGGCCTACCAGTGAGCCGGCACTCCCTTTGGAATCATCCACTTGTAGTTCATGCAAATCAAACAATGATGCGATGGATCGATGTCGTGATTAGATTCTTCTTGGACCTGGGGAGAGAACTATTCAGGAGGAATGAAGGCAGTTTGACCCGTGCACGTGCAGCCTTGTCTGCTGCGAACAGATTCTTAAGAAAGGAAATGAAGGAGTGTGGCTTCTCATAGAAAGTGTCGAATGGCCAGGTCATGTCAGTGGCATAATACGCTCTAGTCGCATCAATTTGAAGAATGACTTCCCATACGTGTGTAGGCCAGCTCCCTGAGCCCAAGCCACCTCGACGCTGACAACGAAGAAAACCCTGAACAGTCTGATTCCACACTCACTGGTCCTCCGAGCCTCTGAGATGCTGCAGCTCCATGGACTGCGTACTGCTGCGCATTTAAGCTTTCGGACGTACTGTATTCGAGATGCACATCGGGGCAAAACTCAGGAGCGTTTTCTTTAGGAGCCACGCCAGAAGAAGCGTCCTGTGGTTGCTCTCGGATGCTCACCGTTCGAATCACCGAAGGACCGAGAAGTAGAACCGTCATTGTCTCTCTCGGTGCTCTGGGCAAGTATCCAACACGCTCATTGCAGGTGTAGCTTGCTAGATAGCTCGCTCGGTCGCTCTCTTGCAGATAAACAGAGGGCCGTCCTGCCTGCCTTCTAAACACATGACGGTTGATGCACACCAATTTACGTAACGAGCCAAATTGAGCTTGCTGGCAATTCTGCTGCAGGTAAAAAGTCCTGATTTTGAACTTTATGCAGAACTTACACCACTCTCACCTTGAACCTCTAGATCTTCGTTTTATCAAGGTTTTTATCTAATGCTTCCGCTGTAACGCTCGCTGTTAGTTACAATTAGAACTCTTGTCATGCGCTTCGGTGTTGATATATAGGGACAAGCGCCCGAGGCCTGCTCTTTCGTTTCAATTTGCAGTACAACACTTGGGATAGATCCGTGGCATGCTTGCCGTCCTGCGGCGCTGCCTGACTTCAACGCTGTCCTTGTTTGAAGAAGATACAGACGTGCATGCATGGTTTTCAGTGTACTGACTTCGTACAAAACGATTTGCCGATTGCACATGAAAAGGAGAGGGAGAGAGAAAGAGAAAGAGTGAATTGTAAATGCAGAGATTTACGCGCACAATTCTAGACAGTGGTCGCTCGAGATTTGTAGGAGCACTGCAATGCAATGTACTTACTGCTACAAAACACTGACTCTGGAACGATTTGATTGATCCTGGAAGCAGTGTATGCCGAATAGTTCCAAAAGGCCAGTCATCGAAAGTTCTCTCAGGCATTTCGTATCGTGCAACCACCACCACCACCACGGAAGTCGGAAATTACTGGGATCTGGGGTTACTGAGCTAGAAAGAATTCCTCGTGAAAAAGGCCGTGTCTGTATCTGGGGCCCATCCGCAACATAAGATGGGACAGTCGCAGAACTCCAAGGGTCATCCATATGCAAGTATGAATTTAAAGTACGGCCATCCTGTGGAGTTTGTGAATGCGCACCAGCAGCAGCAGCAGGAACCAGTGTCCACTCGGTTGCTGGCCAACGTATTGTCGTCCAAAGCCAAGCGAATATCTGCAGGCATAGTGCTGATGAGCTTTCTGGCGATCCTCAATCTCGGAGCATTCTTCGCCGCTCTCAGAATCGGGCTCGTCTTCTACACTCCAGAAAGCGAAGGTCCGTCACTGGCAGTGAGAGGCTTCAACCACGATTTCGACTATCCGGTCTGCTTGCTAGTGGCCATCGGTGACGACGGCGACAAACCCAACGAGCAGGCCGTGCCATATTCCGAGCTCTACCGGCTGACCGATGCGGCGATCGACGAGCTGCGCCAAAGACCTCCGGCCACCAAGCTCCTACTGGCTGCAGATTACACGACCGTAGCCTGCAAGATGCTGAGGGACAGCTTGGAGCTGGTGGAATCACTGGCCGGGGTTGTGGAGCTCAGCTGCCAAACTCCAGGCCAGGCTTACAAAAATGTGGTGCATTCGGGGCACCAGAAAATTCGATGCGGGACGACGGTGGTGGGCGATAGCGCTCGCTATGTGCCGCAGCTGACACTGGAATGGGCGCAGCTCATGCAGTGGCAGAGCCTGCGGGTGGTGAATCTGGACGACGAGGACCCGGCGCGAGCTGGCCCCGGCATTCCTCGAGAGAATTGGCGGCCCACGGTGGTGACGGCCTTCAGCACCAACCACTTCGCCGTGGGCTCGCTGCTGCTGCGCTCGCTCGCCAAGGCGGGCAAGGAAGCTGCGGACGCAGGGCTGTACAATGTGTCGGTGATTGCGTATCAGCTGGAGGAGTTCAATTCCACTCTGCAGCCGCTGCTGGACTGCGTGGTCCGCGAGATGAACGAGGAGTACAATGTGAACACCGAGCTTCGGCTCTTCAATTTCTCGGCCGTGCCGGCATGGATGAGGATCAATGAGAGCCGAGGGTACAGCGGGACGGGCGAGTACGCCTGGAAGGTCGAGATCATTCACTCGGTGCTGGTGGAGAGGGGCTTCGTGCTGTGGGCCGATGCCGGGGGCCGCTTCACATTTCACGGGCTCATCGAGAGCTTGAACAACACTCTGGCCCATGGCTTCGCCAACAAGAACACGGTCGGAGTGCTGCCCAAGTGGGTGCACTCGGGCATGCTCAAATACTTCCGCTACAACTTCCACCATAACCCTCCCGTGCCCAATTGCGATGGCTCGGGCATCGGCTTCACGCTGGACAAGTACCAGAGCCTGGCCAGGCCCTGGTACGACTGCAGCATCACAAGGCAGTGCATCGCTCCGGACGGGTCCAGTCGAGCTAATCACCGGCAAGACCAATCGGCCCTCACCATTCTCACCAGCCTGAATGGCGACGTGTGCCAAGGGATCAGCTCGTCCGTCAAGAGGCACATGGACTCGCACCCTGGGGATTTCTCCGGCACGAACCCCACCCGCTGCTACTCCGACCCTTTGCAAGTTTACGATGGCTTCTCATAGGCCCCATGGGCGGCGGCTCGCTCCCGTCCTCGTAGATCGAATTGGACACTGTCTTTTCAAGAGTTGGATTTTGCCAGCGAGCTCTTGAATTAGAGGCCCTCGGCACGAGGGCCCTCACTGTAGGTAGGTCTGTCTCTGCTGAGACTCGTGCCATTGCACTTCCAATTTGCAGCTGTAAATAAAATCCGAACACGCTTAGAGTTTATCGATTCTGAGTACGTCTCGCAGTGGCGCACCACGATTGCTCTTTCTCGAGGCACTGAGTGCAGGAACCTGTTGGAGCGAGAGCTCGAAGACTAGCCCTGCAGCAGAACGCTCAAAAAGTTTCGCTCGTGCTGCGGGAAGCCAGCATGTAGTTCTGACCCGGGAGGATAATGTCTTCTGGGTGAAAAGAGTTACTGGGATCTGAACTCACAAACTTGATTTCGGCACATAACTTGCGTCTCACTTCGGGGGATCTCACTCATACGACAGTACCTCTGGAAAGTGGGCAGAGTTGCAGTACATTTAGACATTTCATCTCACTTTCAGATCCTGGATCCCTTCCTTTGGAATTTCCAAAAGATTCTGAGATTCTGAAGTTCGGTCGGAAAGAACCCAGGATCTAAAAGCCAGATCGAATGTCCGGGACGTTCTCTCGACAGCTCATAACAACCCAGATCAGGACATGACAGAAAGACCTCCTTATCCAAGCTCTGTAATGCTCCTCCCCTCGGTACACTCAAGATCCTCTGAACGAGACACAGGCTCAGACGATTTGGACACCGTCGAACAGGAACACTTTCAACTCTCGGTGGATCCGTAGAATACTACGAAAAAGACGGTTTCTCTCTCGTGATTTGATCAACTCTCGCATCTATATACTTGAGAGGCGCGGACAGGCCCCGAACGACGACGATCCCCGGCATCTTATGTTCATGTGCGGATTTCGCAAGCTCTGGGGACGATTAGCAGCTTAAAGAAAACGGGGGTAGCCTTCGTAGCTCCGGACGGGTCATGAAAGTCCTGACCCATGAACAATGCAGACCTCGAACGGCGATAATGGCATTATGTATGTCAGCATAGTACGCACGGGTTTGGTCATATTCAGGACGAGTACCGAACTACAAGGTTCATGGGAGATGGGGAATTTTGTCCATGAGAAGGTTGCCATCGCCGATCGTTTATGTGAGGTTCATGTTGTATGAGGCGCAACGATGCAGCGCTTTCTGAACCGCTTGAGGTCGAGTCTGAGAGTCTGAGATTCGTTACGCGTGCACCTTTGCATCACGAGGGCGATGGGTAACGGTTGTGCAGCAGCCAGGCCACCACCTTTCATGTCTGGACCTTGTCGGGGCTGAACTCTATCCACACGCAGGCGGACGTGAAATGAGAGTCAGACATCTCATCTCGCCTGCGTGCATTTCAAGTCACGAAGAGAGAGAGAGAGGGCGCAATGCGTCGGAGCTGGCAGATATATCTGACTCCCGTGGGCCGAATCTCGTCACAGGTCAACATTTCGATCATGAGGGCTGTCAGATTCATTCGTCCCACGTCTCGCTAGTGGGCCGGGGTGCCTTTTGCCGCCAAATGCACATTTGGATCACGGGGAGGGTGAATTTTAGTTTCTGACGGTCACCTGCTGAGCTGATTGCCCTGTCACGGGAGTACGCTTCGATCGATCGGCGGTAAGGGTAAGTAAGGCGAGAAAGCAGACGACTGATCAGGATTCTATCGAGGGGTGAGAGCGGTGATGATGGCGGGCTGTGCCTTTTCCCAACCGGAAGGGCGAATGTTGAAGGCCTGATCTTGAGGGTTTCACGCCAATGCTCTGTACGCAAGGATTGTCGCTTGTGCATGTTGCCCTCACTCTGAGGTCAAGATGTCAAAGGCGTATGTCAGCGTTGTCAGCGCAGACATGACAAATCTGTACGCGCAGCAAGTTCCACGAACTTTGTTCTCTTTTCTTCCGGTCACGGCTGCGCGAGTCGCGGAAAAGCTTGAAATTCATGACCTCGCGTGAGCCGAGCTCGCACAACAACTTCCTACGCTGTCCGTGGCTTGCTGTAGGTGTCATCATTCCAACGGTACTTCAGTCTGTGATCTGGGGCTTTGGGTGAAAAATTATTGAGGACCCATGACATGGACGAGAGTAACCATCCACTGTCCATTCGAGCCGTAATGTCGCCCCATAGAGAAATTCATGGCCTTGTACATCTACGCTTGTCCCTCCATGACCAGTTCAACGAGGGCTGCAGTTTCATGCGAATCAGACCTTTTAAAGCAGTAAGTGCTTGGCACTTATCAAATTCGAACATTTCCTCCTAAAGGGTATGTTCGCCAAGGACAACTACGTTCCTCTCTAGCCTACTTTCTTCTTGTTCTCAATGCATCGTTAAATGGAATATAAAATAGAAAAAATAGTAAAATGGTAATAGATCGAGGCCGGGGGTGAAAAATCACAAACAAAAGAAAAAATTCCAATTATCAATCTCTAACTCAAAAAATATTAAAACGATATAACTATGATTTCTCTAATATAAAAATTTTAAATTAAAAGACATTTGTATTAAAAAACTTAAATTCTCCACATCTATATTATGAACAAGGCTGTTCAATTAGGAAAAATAACAAATACATATTTTGTATTTTTAATATATCCACCGTCGCATAATTTACAAATACGATCATTGCTAAATAACATCAACTTATTTATTCAATTCTAAAACTATAAGATCCAATTTGATGTCTGATAAATATTCATATTCATAGGATTCACATGAAATTAATAAAATTACATCTTTCTTGCTTGCTATGAATAAATAAATTATATATTCATTCTTTCTTTCTAAAAATTGGCATTTTATGATGTACTTTTACAAAAAATAAATTTTAGAGTTTAAGTTACGTATGAGATATTTTAAATTTTATGATAGATCACATACGTAATTTAGTGTACAGGAGTGACGCATCACTACTATTATTCCAACATGCACATTGATATGACAAAAATTCATGAGTTCGAAAATTGACAAAAGATTGTGTATAACGACACAGAATAATACGCAATTTAAATACATGCAAAGTATCATATACATTAATCATTTCACGAATCTACACCTAGGGTCTGCAGTGCATAATTCATTGATTAGATACAATAACACACACGATTTCACATTTATATTGTATAGTTACAAAACAAAATTATTTCACAGTTTTCATTTCACTTCTGAAAACTAACAAGTTAATCATTCCAACGCATCTTATTAGGTAATATTTCAATTTTACATAGGTAAAGTGCACATAAAGGTTTTTCTTTATTCGTCAAAGATCAAACGGTGTGCATAATATACAGCAATGTAAAATTTATGCATTCGATACGTCTTAAGGCCAATTAATAATTACAACCAGGTAACTAACTATTTCTTACATTCATGAGTTTATACTAAATCATGCAGGATTCGTTATTGAATATAATAAAAACACTTTCATGATAAGCATGTCGAGCATTTGTAATACTTTGCAGTCTTGGTTCGGTCATCTAATTAGTTGTGGAAGATTCTGAAAGCAATACTTAATCTATAAAAAATGATCCAATAGAGGATTATTGTATTCCAAAAACTCTATCTAACGAAATATAAAATGCAAGCAGGATGCATATGGACCACAAGAGCTAGGGTGAAGTTGAATAGTATGGCCGCCTCCGGCGTTCAGGACCCTCACATGTTCCGATGTGCGAACAGCCTCTCGAAGATTCTTCTTTGTGGCTTGAAGCAAGCAGAGTCTGCGTTGAGCACGAAACTGAATCTTCAGACCACACTCCGTCAGAGTTACACTTTGAATCTGGACCAGTTGTGGATATCGTCTGCGTGCTGGACTTGAACATGGCAGTGATGATTAGCAAATGCTGTACGTCAAAGTTGAGAAAGGAAATAGCACAGAATGCAGAGAACCGTGGCTTTTTTCCACTATCACCAAGACCGTAAGCACGTAAGTGTCTTTCTGTGCATGCTGCAGAAGCATCAGCACTCGAGAGATGATTCTATTCGTACCAAATGCAAAACGTATGTCGATGTTCGATCCAAACTCATCCAGCGAGATACTGCAAAAGTCGAACATGTTGTTGACTTACTTTTCAACCTCTCTCCTCCCCCACAGTTCTCAAGCTTCGAATCCAGTGGAACGCATCTTCTGCAATTGTCGTTGGCCGTTCCTTCCTGCAGCAGCTCGATTTTAGCGGGACGTTTGTCCTATAGTGCAAGAGACCAGCTTCCATCCAGTGACATGCAAGCGTCACTTCCACTTCGTTTCCTTGGAAACTTTGTCCTTTCATGTCTCGTCCTATCCTAAGGCCCAAGAGTAAGACGGTGCTGGGGAGGGCACGCACAATCACAGAAAGGAATCGAAGCTGGTCTTCTCGAATGTCATCCATCATGTCTATCACCATGGTACATAACGGCTGCTCAAGTACGGGACCCCAGGTTTGCGAGCAGACAGAGAAGAGAATCCGCAGGATGAAAAGGTTTTGCTTAATGATTGGCAAAATCTGACCAAGGCTTTACGAAGAAGTAATATTTATCCAAAAACTGATAGAATGCAGTCCTTTCACAGTCAGGCCTAGTTAGGTGCAAAGATCGAGAGTAGAGCAAAGATTGTACCTAAACCAATATTGCAGACATGGACAAGAAAAATGTAGTACTTATTCATTACGTGGATTTAAACCTGAGTTTTTATTTCAAAGCAATACAATGATGTTATCAAACTACTGAATCTAGTTGGCTATTTAACTGAACTCTCGGCATCTCCAACTCAAAGATCAACGATGTGTCCATGTTATGTTGGACTTTTCGGAGTAAGATCTCAGGTTCACAGATAATCTAAAAAGAGGAAAGAATCACAAACACAAAACTATCGGAGTAGGGGACAGCGTTTAGAATGCAAGCAATTGGTTGACGAGTTCATGTGTTTAGTTCACCTTCAAAAAATTTGAAAATAAAAGTCAAACCTGCATGTAATATAATCTGGATCAGTCTCCAAATGTTCATTTGAAACACTTTTCTTGTTTTTGGGAGAAACTTATGCCCGGAGCCGATTTGGAAACGCAATCCAAACATGGCAGCAATTTTTCCACATAAAGCGCGATGTTATTCTGTTACATACCACAGGGAGATCAAAGAAGTTTAACAAGTGCAAATGTGCATTAATGCAGTATAAAAGTGTCTTATAACGATCAATGTTAAGGTTGTTTGCAGTAAGTAGGATACCCTTACTTCGTGATATTCGACATCCTTGGGGTTGTGGGAGAAGTTCACTTTTATATAGAGTGCTCCCTCTCTCACATGTTGAGGTGCAGTTGCATCTGGCTGAGTGGAACCCCCAACAAATGCAAGAACACTACGTACTCTGGTTGAGAACAGTCTGAGACCAGAATGAAAACGTAGCACGTACAGCATACGGTTACTAAAGTCTTCTAGATATTTACTAAGTAAAAACGATTAAGTGCAAATTTGCTTCATCTGCGTCACGTTGGAAGTATGAAATCGACGCAGTCGCAGTTAAGCAAGCAGCGCTTACATTTAATGTCAAGTGATTGAAACAGACAAATCTGCAACCGCTGTAAAGTTTTACATTTTGGACTTCTAAATTTGACTACACCGACGACCAAAGTTTTCATTTGTCCATAAAAGAAACATCCCCTTAACTTCAACAGCGTTTCAATCCTGGTAGACGTGCGCCTTATGAATTAGCGGCGGTAAAGTGGAGAGTGACATCCAGTAAGATATTTTTCCCGCTAGGGAGTTTGGAGCATTTGCAGAGGTGTTCAACGAAGGTGGCAAATTGTTACATCATGTCAAGTTTTCGCTGGCGCGGCAATTTTTCTTCTGCAATCGGTGCACAATAAGGACGAGAAGCATCGCTCTGCTGGCGATCTTACTTGACTTGAGCTGGACATTTGTGGGAGAGAGGTCAACGTCTTTGAACAAATTCAGTGGCTCGATCAAGACTGGATGGATCGTTTGTACCTTGAGACACCCAAAAGGAAAAGTTGGGAACTCATGGACTAACGTCTGCTGCATAAAGCACCGGTCAAAGAAACACTAAAGCAATAACGAAAGATGCCCGCGCAATTACAAGAAATAATGCTTAAATCTAGGGACTCTTTTCCACATCGATTTCTTTATACCTGCTTCTCTGCATGCAAGTTATCAATACTAGAACAATATTTTTTCAAGAGAATTTCTTACTTTTTGTCATCAAATTTCGGAAAACTTAGATTCTGCGTCTCATTATGGCTGCTTTTGAAGTATTTGCCACGCAACGCCACTTTGTGAGGGTATGTGAACATGCAAAAGCAGTGAGTTATATGACTACACATTGTGTAGAATCCATCAACTTCAAGTGGAGTCATAAATTGCTACCAAAAGTCGCCAAGGATAAATCAACGGTTATTCAAATCCACTTGATGTTGAATTCTAAATTTCATATCCACTTGTGTCAAAATTCCGACAAAATTCGAGATACTCGGATAGAAAACTTATACTCGCGATAATCAAAATATTCTTTGTAATACATATCTACCAAGAGATTAATTCTCAATTGGGAGAAAGTTGCTATTGGTGTATTACCTCCTTGAGTTTACCAAGAAACATGCAGCAACTTTGACACTCAAGGTTTCACGCATCTTATGAATGTGTGGTGGGCTTCATGATGAATCCAATATACTATTGAAATAGTATGTTGAATTAGCTAACGTGGACATCTAGATTGTGATGAAAAAATCTTTCTTTTTTTAGAAAGAATAATATCTACTCACATATCAAAGTCTCATTTTCGACAATGATTGAAGATAATCACCTCATTTCCAATCACATTTCTCATATTTTTATGACTATACATGTTGAAGCATACAAAAGTTAACATCATGTGTGTGGACCATGATGAGAACTGAAAGTCTGCTTGCAACTTGTGATAAATATAGATATTATATATATTATACATCATTTGTAAACTCTAGTATCCATATGCAAAACTTGCAATATGACATAATGTCTTGGGAAATTTTCTACAGGAATTAAGAAAATCATAAGTCTTGACTATATCACATACCTAGTTTGTTTAAGAACATGATATTGATATCTCTTGCTCTAACATCCTTAATCTGATGAACAGCTAGATGTGCAACCTTTTGAATTCTACAGAAAAAATTCACAATCTCATGTTTAACTTTCATCTCAGTTACAAGTCTATTCAACCAAATTACACATTTGTAACTTCTGCTACTGCTACATTGTCATGTTGTTTAGCGGACTTAGCTTTGAGCTTCTACATTGTAATTCATCAACTTATTTATCCATCTCTAATTGTAAACAAATTTCAAATCATAAATTTGTTTTTTCATCTATCAAAATTTCAAATCAAGATTTTGTGTGTAGTCAACATCTACATAGTCAATCAATGACTTTTCGATCTACTATTTCGCATCAAATATAAAATCAAAATTGAACATATTCTTAAGATTTTTAAAAATCCACTTCACAGTTTTCCAAGATGTCATCTACAATTGATATGTATATGTTAATCTTATTCATATCAAGATCAATGTCATATCATGTGCAAATCATCAATACATGAGAACTCTCATTGTTTTGTTGCAAGTAAACTTGGCTTTCAAACCTTTTTCCACATAGCAAGGTATGAAAGTTTGAAATGAGTAGCCTAATAACAACTCATAACTTTGCAATTTTGCATGTTCAACCTTACAAGTCACTTTGTAGCAACCATGCCTTGACTTTATCATGACTTTTATACTTTTAAAATCCAAGTTTATATATTTGATTGAATAAAGTCAAAGTACACATAGTAAGCAACAAGTCCAATGAATATCAGCTATAAGAATACATTTCATCTTATCTTAGCTCCAAAAAAAAATTTAATTACAATAAGATCTCATCATCAAGTAGATCATCAATCTAATCTTGTAGATCTTTTGGTCTCTTGTAATAAAATTATAATTTACAATATTTATCAAATTTTATATCTTACTTATTATGTGTTGATAATTTGAATATTTGAAAAATTTTGAACTTTAATTGTCAATCATTTGATAATTTCATTTATCTTTACATTGTTGCATTTCATTCAAATTCATTTTTATAAATTTGACCTTCATATGAAATAGGTTTTCTATAAGATTTTTAAATGAAAGTTATAACATCATCATTCTTTGATTGAGATCAATAAGTGCATTTGTTAAATATTTCATGAGAAAATATAAAGCATTAAAGTTTTTTAATTGTTGATAATTTTTTCAAATATATGTTAATGTATGTCAGAATTGCCTAGTTACTTCACACTTTTTAACTTCTTTGAATTAAAATTTTGCAATTGTGTGACTTCTTATAAAAATATTCATAATTATTTTCATAAAAATATTTAAGTAAGATTTTTATTTATCAATATGAGCTAATTGAGTTTTTTGTGTTTATTAGCTAATGATTTGAATTCATTGAACATATCATAATTTGCATGTGAATGTAAATGAGTTCAAAAATTTTAATGCGTCAAAAAATTTGATGTTAAAATAAAACATGTTATTAGGAAATAAAATTTAGTTTGTTGGTTGTTCATAACTTAAAATTCAAATGAAGTCATGTAACTAGATAGATTAAAAAATGTCAAATAATTGCTCAAAATAATTCAAATCTTCATCAAATATTTGCAAATAATCAATAAAAACAATTAATGTGATATTTTATTTATATTTCATAATACTTCATGTTGAAGTTTATCAACTTCAAAAATGTGTGGATGCAATTTGACAATCGTATTTCATGTTACTTCTATTGAGATTCATAAAAAAAATTTGTCACACACTTCTTGAAGTCATCTAATTGTTTGATAATATGAGTTTATAGATTTAACAGAAATGTGTTTATAGCTATCTTCTAAATCTCATTTTTTATTCTCTAGCGTGCAAATAAATCTTAGAATGTGGCAATTTTCTAAAATTATTGATTTTAAGCCTGTATTAAATTTAACATTTCTAATTAAGATAACCAAAACTTTGATTTTATTTGGCAATGTTAAAATTAACACCGCAAATCTTCATTTTTTAAGGTTAATCCGCATCTGGTTAACCATGGTTAGTCTAACCCTAGTTAGGATTGGACTCTAGTTAGAATTTGGTATACTTAATCCGAGGACAAGCACAATCTGTTTCAATCTCACATGTACATCGTGAAGTAGAGATAATGGATAGCTTGGCTATGAAAGTCTGTTGTACATTCTCGCTTTAGTGAAACTTTTTATCTCGGTCGTGTACGTAGCCTCATGTGGATGTGAACCACGTATATTGTTGTGTAATTCTAGTGCATATTGTGGTTATAAGCTTCTTTAAAGAACAAAGTTGAGATCCAACACATTTTTTCATTTTTTTTTGTGTGATAACCTATATTTGTTAGAGTTTTTAATTCAAATTCAAAAAAATCTTGCCAGATTCTCCACAAAAAAATTATTGAATTTAATTTCAAATTTGAATACATTTTTGTAACCATCTTTAGTTAGTTAAAACTAAATTAGAAGTTACTCTAAATGTTTTGATATATATACTTTAGCGTGCATTAGTCATAGCTGACTCATTAACGATCCGCGCGCTTGGTAGGTAAAGAGTAGATGTGTTAGTTAAGAGTGTCATGTCAACGATCTGTGTGCCTGTTAGGTAAGGATTGAGTGTGTTAGTTGGCAGCGCCACATCAGCAATCCGTGCGCTTATTAGGGTTATCTGTCATGTAATCCATCCAATATGAGTGGGATGGATGGTGGGAATAAGATCTTATCTACTTGTACTTGTTGGTGAGAACTATATAATGGAGAGTAGAACCATTGTTGTTATCTCTCATCTTTAGAGTTTATGTTTCAATCTTCGAGTGAACTTCTCACTAAATCTTAGTGTTACAATTTTTTTTAATTTTTTAGCTTCAAAGCAAAACTAAACAAGAATTGTGATTTTTTTGCTAATTTAAATCTAACTATAAAGACTTATATTGAATTCAACACTCAAGAACAAAATTTCTTCAAAACTTTACGAGATAATTACTTGAGGTAATCCCTTAGAGATTCAAATTAGTTGATGGTATCCAACAGGTTTAATTTTATCTGATGGTACTCCACTCGACGGCCATACAGATCACTTCAACCATGTTCAAATAAAAGTTTTAAAACCTGATAATTTACGATATAGTGAGGAGACTGTTTGACACTATTGAGCCAAAATACTTTCTCATGTGAGAATAATTTGGCTGATTCGCAGCGTCGCTTTCTGAGACAAGCTGCAAACTAGTCTCAAAAAGCAACAGGCATCATGATGCTGAAGTAATCCTAATAGTATCTCGTTATGACTGCATCAAAAAACTGCCGAAAGCTTCATAACCGAATTAACCCTATATTGTATAAGAACATCGTTGATGATGAACTGTAATGAAATTCTCTGACGGTGGGCTGCAGGGCCATCAAGGAAGTTCCATCGGGTAAAATGAAACCGGTTGGGTTCCATCAAGTTTGTTGCGTTTACTTGGGATCACATCAAGTAATCTACTCCAAACTTTACACTTCCACTCATTTAAATTCAAAATCTGATTATTTTACTTAGAGTAAACAACAACAAGATTTTCATTGTGGATGTTTGCTTTGAGATTCTCAAAACAAACCTCCATGATGAAAAGAGAAAACATGTAGCCAATAGAAGAAATATATGATTCATCTCAATAATCTTATTGAAGGGATTCAACTTAATAATAAAAACCACTAAATTATCAATCATTGAGATACCATCAACTACCTTATTCAATAATATGCTAATTGCTCTAATTTATCATAGTTAAGCTAGCTAGAGTTACTCAAAACAATAGTTAATTTTTAATTTTAATAGGAAATAATTTTAAAAACAATTATGATTAAAATTCATTTTTTTCAAGATAACATTTTTATTATCTAGATACTTGAATTTGATCGATTTGAGTTACATGGTTTAATTTTTAATAATAATTTCAGCATAAAAAATATATTAAACTCATAGACTTGGATAGTATCAAATTATATTAAATTATAGATTCAAAATTATACAAAAAATATACTAGAAATTCAATTGATATAGAGTTCTTTGCTTGTTCAAGGTTATCTTCATCCAGGAAAAACAAAGTTCAGTTTAACACCTTTGGATATCTTATGAAAATGAAAAAAAAATCAATAATTTTTATCGATACATCTACATCTTGGTTTGATATTTTGCAATTTTTTTGTTTTGCGTTGTTGTTTACAAGTCCAACTAGAAAATGTAAGTTATTTTTCAAGATCTACAAGCTTAAAAGTTAGACTAGTTTGATCTATTATGACTTTTTTCAATTTTCTCTTTAATTAGCATTTTGCAATGCGACAAATATTTTATCTTCAGGCTTTCGGAATCTGATGTTAATAATAAGACGTTGTGCATATAAGCATAGAGATATTACATTTTGGTATGGATTGTAGTTAGTTTTTTAGTGCTTTGGAACCAAGTTGATAATGAGGCTAGTTGTTCTCTTTACAAGCTTTGCAGACCGTAGATTGCGATAGCGGTCGTCGATTTGAGGCTAAAAGCTTTCGTCGATTTGAGGCTAAAAGCTTTCTTTACAAGTCTAGCAGACCTGTAGTTTGCACGAGTGTTTGAAGATGTAGAGGTTTAGGGTTTAGGGTTTTAGAGGTTTAGGGTTTCCTTCAGACGATTTGCAGACCTGTAAAATGCATGGGTGATTGTAGACAAGGAGACTGCATAATTTCTATACAGCATTTGCACAGCTGTAGATGGAATGAGTGTTTGCGATGATATTAAGTCTCATGTGCTCTCGTGCTAAAATTATGCTCTGCCTCTTGTACACCTACCATGAGATACGATTTCGTGGAGATGAATTGTGAGTATATCACAATAGAAGGAATGTCACAATCGTTGATTCCGTATTATTCACGGTACACATAACTGGAGCTACATACCATTGCATCCTGAGATGTGTGTAAGGATGTGGATGGCAACCCAAATTTTGGTATCAACCTGAAAACGCCTAGGTCATGAAATACCAAGGCTCGCCGACGAAACCTTACTGCAATCCGTAAGAATTATGAGTAAACGAATCATGCAACGAAAGATTAATGATAGCACCTGACGTTGGGATCTCATCTGACATGACAAGCTCTGAACAAGAGCGCAAGACTCCGGAAATAAGAGCCAGTTATCCAAGTCAAGCTCCATTCCACAATCTGTCCCCATGGGAGAACCGATAGAATGTAAGAATATTGTCCTCGAAACGAAGACAGAGGTTGTCCAGTAGAAAATTTGACAAAAGATTAACGCGTCTGGAGTCAGAAATCCCTTATTCTGGGAAGATCTTGAGAACATCACTTGACAATTATTACATTCTTTTGCGTACTCTCTAGATTTCTCATCCGTCCAAAGAACCTTGTAGACTTTTGTAGTTTTGATCTAGAAGCTCAAAAATCTAGGTTCGTTCAAGAGATGAACTCTAGAGAACTCACGGTCTTATCTATGCTGAGGCAAGGCGATGTGCCTTGCCCCAGCATGAAGTACAGGTAGGGTTGGAGGCACAGCAAAATATTTTGAGGCATGCCTATGCCCCATTTCACGGTCAAAAGGCATGACCGTATTGAAATACGTACATTTGACGTATTTGAAAATGTACATATATGAGAATAAAACATATTTAGAAGTAAAACTGTTGAAAAGTTCCAGAAAATACGAATTAATTTCTTTGTACATACAGGCATGCCTGTATGGAAGAACCCGAACGAGGCATGCCCCTTGAGGCTGTGCCTCCAACCCTAAGTACAGGATTATGGCTGCCTAATTTTGGCTTCCCGTATGTACTCCAATATACGGCACACGTCAAGAAAGATTTCTCTAAAAATTACAAAGATGAATCGAAGAATACTGGGAATCATCCACCCTAAATTGTTAGTACAGATGTATGATACAAGCTCCTAATGGTTTGTTGTGCTTCTATCTAGATGCTGGAAATTTCAGCTTCTTTCGAGCCTGGTCGATATGCAATAAAAGCTCCGTCGTGAGAAAACGATCCAGGACTGAAGCTAGTAACTCCGGTAAAATTAAACACCTTCTGTATCAGTCGATCCGCCAGCACTACCTGCAAAATATATATATATATATATAATGAAGATTACTGGAGAAGGAAAACTTATGCAATAGTTTCAACGATGTTAATATTGACACCAGTCGCAACGCCCGATGCATATGAAAGATGTGCACAACAGAACCAAGTGTATTTACCCTCAAATTCAGACTCACAACTCGTGCTATTGATATGCCAGTATTCTTACCGTATGAGGTAAAGGATAAAGCCTGAGAACATGGTCTAGAGGCCAACTGATTGGCTGTGATGTAAGAGGCAGGGGACACAGATGGCTTTGGTGTAATACTGTGGCAACAAGCTGCGACAAGAAATTCATAACCACGAGGGACGAATCACTGTTGTTAGAAGACTTGAGGAAATAATAAAAGACAACGAATACGGTTGAAAGCAAATAGTAGAACAACTTGAAAGCCAATGATGACCGAAAGATGAGATTTGACGTACATGCTGGAAGTTATCTTGAGTTTCTTCGTTAGATGGTGGTATGATACAATTTCGGCGCGTGCGGTACAGAATGTCGTCTCGAAATAAGACTATTTCCTGCGAGTAGAAGCGGATCCTGTCATATCCGTGGCAGAGAAAGTTTTCAGTATGTCCGCTTTAATACGAAAACAAAAAACAACAAATATTTCCAAGTTGCTTCCAAGGCTGAGAATTAAAATCGAAGTACCTGCAAGGGTTACTCGCGAAAATGGAATTTGGAACATGCTTCAGAACCTCGTTGGTGAAAAATTTCGGTAAGGGAGGCCTTGGGAGAACATTGGCGGGACCTGTCAACATCTCCCAAACGGTTATTCGATTACCAAGAGTGCACTCCAGAGATAGAGAGAAGTAAATCAGAAGATTTCATTTTGTTGACAGATCTACACACTTAACAGGAAGAAGAAAATTGATACATTACAAGCATCCATGCACTTGAAGAAGACAACAGCCATCATATCTCTGATGTTTCTCCGGGAAGAACTTATTAAATGCTTGAATACACATGTAGATGAGTGAGGCAATGCCTGCTTACCGATATCGTCTGGACCTGGAATGAATATGAAGCGACTTGCTTCTTTGATACGAGGGTGAGCACTTATTACTTCACCAAGTTTTCCAAAGTGAGAACTGCGTGCGGGAAATGAAGTTCATTGTAAGAGGTTTACGAGTTTATCTTGGCTTTGTGAGTAAAAAAAGATTCATGAAAACGTTAGAGAAAGCAGATATCCAACAGCAAGTTAGAAGTCAGTAATCTAACAGCAAGTATTCAGCAACAATCAACACTTCTCGATATAAGCCAGTGCATAAGTTAGGCAGCTCTACTGCACAACTCAACTAACTAGCCCGGACATACGATTTGCGAGCAGTTTTGAAAGTTATAAAACAATGTTTCTTCAGCCAAAACTCACCGAAGTTTAGCAAATTCATTGAAGGCACGATTGCACGGGTGACTGCAAAAGTTTCCCATAAATATAAAGAGAGAAGGTACCACTTCCAACGTCTCGTAACCGTCGAATACTTGTGTTAGCTTCTGCATAGTCTGCAAACCATGAAAGGATATGCTTTGAGGATCTTGACAGGTATGTAGCATAAAAGTACCCAAGAAAATTGTCTGACTAATAGTTCAGGGTTAAAACGGGAGTGAATTCAACGAAAAGAAACGCAAGAGAGGAAACCATCCTGCTGCATAATAAAAACCAAGGATATTATCTGATTAGTAGATTAAGGTTAGAACGAAAAACTTTGAGCTATAAGAAAGGCAAGGTAGGGAACCACCCTGCTACATGTACACCATGTAGCGTGGAGCACATAAAAACCGTATATACAATAATTGCCTACACTACCTTTGCGAAAGAGAGTCACTATACCAAGATACTCTCAGATGGTGGAGGTAGACGTGCTCTAAAAGTTTTGTCTTGAAGTCTTGTCTTGTCTTGTCTTGTCTAAAAGTCTTGATCGAAAGTCTAAAGCCTATTGTTCATTTGGAGATGTGTTTTTGGCCTCCAAATTAGAAAGGCATATGAGTTGAACAACAAGCTGATACTTGGAGACTCCGAACAAACCACTGACACAAGGATTTTCAGTCCTTTGCTCTAACCACCTGAGCTATCTAAACAATATTCATGTACAATCCCCCTAAAAGTTGAACCCTCTTCTCTGGCGATAAGTTCTATCTCTTTCAACACCACCATTTGCATTCTATATACCTCATTTCTTCTTCGTGCTTTTCAACTAGCACCTACAGTTTTACAGTATACAGTATGATATTACCGTATTCGGGCTAAGACACACATATAATTACAATCGAACGAGGGTTATGTAGGGAGGGCAGTTAATTATAGGAAAATCAGATGCAAGTATAGAGGTATGTTCAGGTAGATGCAAACCAAAAGCCAAGATCAAAAGAGTATATATACACATATCTGCTGAAAACATCTACATGTGAAATCAGTAAAATTCAGTCTGTCGTGGTTATTAGCGCTACCTCCTCATGATCGAGCCAGACCTCCGCGAGAATGATAAACATATCATTGGTGCTCTCCTCTATTTGCTCCAGTTTCATCTGTTAACAGGTCAAGAAATATACAACTGGGCAAACATTTGCAATATGACACGATATCACGTGTATCTAAGATCGTCTAGCTGCGTGAAGTGCAAACTGAGATGCCCATGCAGAGCGTTGTAGATGTGAACTTCCATATCCACGCTGTGTTGGAGTTTAGTTGACAGATTCATTCTACCCATGGATTTTCGTCGATGTTCTAAACATATATTCCTTCAAGGCATTCAACGGGTTGAAAGAGGCAGGAAAAATGAGCTATATATTAAATGACGCCAGGAGAACATGAAGCAAAAACAGGAAACTCATTGTATGCAAACTGAGATACCTGTAAACGGCATCATTTGGAAGGCAAAAAGGATACTGTCTCTTCGCTATTCAGCACTCCAGCACCAAAACAGTCGAGACCGGCAGTTACCGATAACGAAACACTTCTGTGTTCCAGAGGAGGGAATCCCATGGTACGTATCTGTGAGCAGTCATTACTACGGCTTCATGCTCACCATTATGAAAATCGACGCATTTATCAAGATAATCGAAATGAGAGAATTTATCAGATGACTGAGAAACGCATGTAGATAAAGGGAAGGAGGAGAGGTGAACCTTGAAGACTCCATTCGTCATGTACTCCCCTTCTGCTACTATGACACAATTCTCTGTAAAAAATCCTGTTGTGATCTTGTGGATATTCGCAGCTAAGGAAATGATGGACATGAGGATGCTGTTACAAAAGTGAACGTCAACTATTATGCAGAACTCATACACAAGGTAAAAAATGGCGGAAGTGCTGGTCTCATTCTATCAAAAAGAAGCAAGGCATTGTCATTCTTAGAGGATATTGCTTCAGAAAAGTCAACTGGGACGGAACCAGTAAGATCTTCCAGGCAGAATCGGTCGTCTTCCACTTGGTAAATTGTACCCATCACCCAGTGCTTTCCAGGGCACCCTATCAAGCCTTGTAGAGGCGTCAACTGGAGTTGGACAGCAAATGAGATATAAGGCAAAGAGGCCATTTTAGATAGAATGAAAAGAAGCAACCAGGAACATGTACCTCGATTCAAGGAGAGTCGCTATTGGTTTCAGAATCTACTTCACACTAATACATAAGTAAACTATTCCTGCTGCGTTTTCAGGAACTTCACAAAGTTGCGAAACCAAATCAAAGAGCTGAAAGAGCAAATGACGTTAAGCCGCAAGAACATTCAAATTGCCAACTTCCAACGCATGCACAGGGAGCATGAATCTGCGCATGTGCATGATACACTAGTGGGCTGAAGTTGCAACCCACTATTCATCTGAAGCCAGGGGGTGAATTTACGAGACAATTTTAAAGAATTGAACTTATGTAGGCTAACCTCGCAGCTGCCAGTTGCAGAATTGTTTCTACCGAAGGAAGGTTTGGTGAAGTGCCTGTCACGCAAAACACGCTGTTGGAGTAATTGAAATCGGTCTCTGTACAGAGCTGCTTTAGCTGATGCTTCTCCGTGATTTGTCGGTAAATCAGGACACCTATGAACATGCACGAGAACTTTACTTAAATTTTTTGTTTGCGTAGTAGAGTAGCGACACACCAATTTTGTAACGCTTCTGGACTTCGGAGCCTGTGAATTGAAAGACGCGCCCTGCTAAACAAACCCTTGAATGCACAAATAAGAGGGCAATCTTGAGTTTTATATATACAGCTTAGTCTACCTGTACAGCAGTGGAAGCAGTTAAAGATTATCTTACTATGGTCAGGTGAGGTCTTACCTCTGGCTGAAAATCAACTTCCAGCGCAGTGGGGGAGAAGAACTTCCTACTAATACATTGCTCACGAATCACGAACTGTATGATCCTTAAGAGATCTAAGCCCACCTGTAGAAAGACTTTCTGACGTGATCGTAGCACAATTTGGGGAGATTAAAAACATCCACGACGATCAGCCGATTTTGTTCGTGGACGTCCCCGCCTGCTGCGGCGGATAAAACCTCCAGAATTGCATCCTTGCTCACGAAGTTGCTCTTCACTGTTGAATCACGACAATGAACAATTCAACAGAAGAACGAGAATTCATTTCAAAAAAATCACTGACAGGGAGCAGCTTCGAGGGAAAGCTGACAAGAGCACATGTGCAATTGAAACCCTTACGTGAAGTCTTATCCATCTCGGAAAAAATGTCACTCAAGGCTTGATCTACGTTGGGCGCCTCTTCCAAGTGGCTCATGACCGCTTTTAATGCATCTAGCGTCAGAGTGAGTCCACGCATCTTGAATTTTTGCTGCACCTTCCTCATGTTTTGCTGCTCCTGGACCCCCATCTTTACGCTTTCGATCTCAGAACTTTCTCACCTCGACTCCCTGATGCTCTCTAGTCCTGACGCAGCTATGCCTGATTCAACCCATTGAACACCGGACAGTCGCATTCCCTCTGCTTCAAAAATCTGATATGATAGTGCGCACTAAATTCTACAGCCACAGACTTCTTTCACGCAGACGCGCAGAAAAATAGCCTGCTCCGCTCCGTCCTTCTACCGTGACACAAATCCGAAAATCAATATCACAGCGCATTGACGCTTCCCAGAGCTCAGTGTTAGAAGCTCGGGACAAAGCTTGAAGCGTCAGGAGAAGTGGAACTGTGTCAGTCTTCAAGCTCGCTACTGCATGCACGTCAAACTTGCCGAGGTGCGTCGCATGAGTCGATATACCGACTAGCGATCATCACAGCTGTGAATATCAGAGTACGAATAATTTCTCGAGTAAAATTCGCCAGATGATCGTGGCTTTGAGCCGCGGTCGCCGATCCTCGAGCTGGGAGAAACAGCGCAGAGAAAGGGCGGGAAACCTCAAACCTTTGTCCTCGTGGCAATGCACAATCTGCTCCGCGTTTGTCGGATAGGACTTTTACCATTTCGATGTAGTAACTACAGAAAATATATACAGTATCCACTTTACAGAGCTTGCCGAGGATTCTCCTGTGGCCGAACTTCATGTCTTGATTTGACAATAGGGGGTTTCAAGCTGGTCCCACGCAATATTTGGTGGATAGAGTCAAAACTTAGGCCTTTAATTGTCATTCTCTAAAATATTAGGAAAAAAATTTAAATTTCTAAGTGTTGTACGAGGATTGTATACATCCCTTGCATACAAAAAGTATAAGCTTTCAGATTTCACGCGACTATTTCTTATGTCATCGAGAAAACATTTTATTGGATTGCAGTAGAGGGTTATGGGTAGTTTGTGAAAGACAATTATGGGACACTGTAGCGTTGGCGATGACGTAGCGAACGGACAAAGTAGGTTTAGGTATGTAAGTTCCAATACAATACAATGTGGAAGTAAGCTACTCACATAGCCGTATAATTGTCTTATATGGGTATATTTTGTTTCAACGTAGATTGTATAGACAATAGTCTTTTCTTTCCAATTTTTTTAACATATACATAGAATCTCAACACTATGGAAAGTAATACAAAAAATATGAACAATCTTTTTTTATCAGAATTTGAATGGTTTTATTATCATTTAGACATAGAATTGGAATTTTTTCTTCTGAAATCAAATTTTTTTATTACTTGATTAAATTTTGATATAGCTGATAAAAAAATGAAAATCATAATAAAAAATATGATTATTATTGTTTCAATGTTGATATAATATTTTATATTTTTGCAAGAAAAAACATATGCATGCCACTAAATCGCATATTGTGTTATTTTTATTTGATAAATGCATCAAAATATAGATTGGACTATCTAATATGTCTTCATGAGAAGATTAATCACACACAAAAAATTCAAGAATATTAAAATGACATCAGTTTAAAAATTTTGTTATTATTGAAGTCATCTTGGAAAAAAGTAAAATTCTTCCATGCTTTGATGTTTTAATTTTTTGTATCATGTAGACTTTAATTATAGGTATACTTATTGCAATCATGATATAAAATTTTATGATTTTTACTAATTGACTGGTTGGATATCATTATTGCAAGAAGAACCAAAATGATTTTTTGTTACTCCTGATTTTGGATTATTTGGTAAATTTATCTAAAATGTGCTTGCTATAATAAATTATGTTGTTAGTACTACTTCGTAAATCTTTTTATACATAATATTGAAGTGTGCATGTTAGAATATATCAAGATATAATAATTTGTCTTCGATATTTTATGCAAGCAATTGACTTATATTGTGTTAGTTTTAATAAATTTTTGACATTAAGGAACGTATTTAAACATTTCTCTTTCTAAGTTTCAGCTAAATGATCAATTTAGTATACCTGTTTCGGATAACAAATTAGTATTTCAATTTTGAAAATATATAAAATAAAAGCTGTATATTGAAGGATCTTGAAAAGTGTAAGGTAGATCTAAGACAAAGTATACTTATTATTAACTCCTTTATATTAAAAGTATGAAATATTCACAACATCACACTTTTTTGAACCATTAATTAATTTTCAATAACATATTAATTTTTTTAGTGTATGTCTATGCTTTGATTTATATTTAAAAAACCCAATATATTTTATATATAAGTAATATTGAAATTAAATCCAAATTAATGATATTATCTTCTCCAATAAAGCTTGTAAATATGCTTAGATCTTAATAAATCAATTCTTATGATCAATAAATTATGTCTTGTTGAATTGAAATAGCACAACAAAAAAAATCAAGATGATTTTTTTTATAATAAAACTTTATACTGATTTTTCAATCATTTGATGATTATGCATTATCTTTCACAACAATACTTTTAGTCACATTTTTGTTCGTATAATTAAAATCGTCACATGATGAGATTGTGAACAATGATATTAAGCATTACGCAATTTTTAAAAACATATTTATAAACATTAGAATAAAATTTTTACCTCCTTTTTTTCAAATATTATAAAAATTTATATATATAAAATATTTATTTTCAATATAAATTTATGCAAAATATTTTGATGATGTGTCATTTTTGTCTATCTTTGAAATTTTGAGTATTTTATACATGTGGTTTCACTTTGATTTTTTTCATAAATAATCTAATATCATGTCTTTTCATATGTCTCATTCTTTAATCAAAATCATACTTTGAAAATAACATTATTTATCTTTGTTCAAGTGTTTTACTTTTCTAACATCTTATGATGATCTTAAATTCAAGGTTTTCAATTACTTTCTGTACATTTGTTTTTAAATTTCATATTATATTTGGTTTGATTTATTCAAAATAGATTTTTCACATTTGATTAAAAATCCTCATTGAAATTGAGTTTCAAAAAAAACATTGAAAGTCTTACCACAATATCATACGTAGAGCAAATTTGCATGAAACTTTCAGACGTTTGGATAATACACTCATATTGTGAAATTCAAAAAACTTACAAACAAAATGATAGTGCAATTGGAAAGAAGTTGGTTTATATCGATGTTCACATTTAGGTCAAGATTGTTGATTTGAACCAAAGACATATGATGCATGCGTGAATTCACTTAATCTGCTTCAATTGCGCAGACAAATATTATCGATTTATGTTTGCTACATTATTACGATATCATGTGTCAACTCACTTGAGATGCTTCAATTGCGCATTAAACAGAATAACAACTTTTACTTGCTACATTAATACAATTTCATGTGTAAATTCACTTGATTTGCATCAATTGGAAAGTCGAAGATTGTTGATTTGTGCTTGCTAAGTTAGTACGATATCATGTGTCAACTCACTTGATTTGCTCCAATTGATTATTAATTTGTGCTTGCTACTTTAATACAATATAGATTTGTGAATGGTACGTTGATACATCTAATCTAGATTTTTTCTTCACCGTCTAATTTAGAATTTGTCGTTGACTAGCATAAATTGTTCATCATCAGCAATCTCGCGCGTGGCCGCGGTTCGACTTTGTCGTCTTGTAGTCTCACTTTTGTCTAACCTTGTCTTGCCGCTTTGTTCACGATTTTGACCTCGTGCAACCTTGGATGTTTCTTGCTTGTTGCCCATCATGTCAATTTTTGAATTTCTTGTCCTTTTGCGACCTCAACTATTTGAAGCTTTTTTGCCCATTTTGGCACGCTGCTTGCTCGTTCGTGGCTCGCCTGCAACCTTGATGTCTCGTCCGACTATCAGTGCCATGCTTGCTTGCACACTAGTTTGACGCTCATTCGCTAGCTCGTCCGCTATTGTTTGTTGTTTCGTTTGTTTGTTGCTCGCTATCTCGTTCGATGTTGTCTTGCTCGTCCGTTCGTTGTTTTGCTCTCTTGTTGTTATGTCAGCTTGCAACTTGTTGTCTAGTATGTTTGCTACTCTCGTTTACTCGCTGGTTTACAAGCTTGCTACTCGTTGTTATGTCTTTGACTCAAATCAACAATATTATCTTAAATGTGAACATATCTCAAATATTATTATTTGAGATATTATTATTTGTGAACATAGATGTACACAAACTTCTTTAAGTTTGTACGTCTTTCAGATTTGAGATAATGAATGTACAATCCAAACGTCCAAAATCCTTACAAAAAAACATTCCGTGTATGATTTTGTATTCACATAACAAACACAAATTGATAATCTTTGTCTCCACAATTGAAGCAGATCAAGTGAGTCAACGCATGCATTATATGTCTTTGACTCAAATTAACAATTTTGCCTAAATATGAACATTGATATAAGCAAATTCTTTTCAGTTGCACAATTCTTTTGTTTATAAATCTTTTGAATTTGAGAATATGAATGTACAATCCAAACGTCCAAGAGTTTCATGAAGATTTACTCTACGCATGATATCTTATTAAACTTGCAAGCACAATTTGATAATCTTTGTCTGCATAATTTGAGCATATCAAGTGAGTACATGTATGCATCATATGCATTTCACTCGAATCAATACTGCTTTAAATGTGAACACCGATATAAGTAGATTACTTTTCAGTTGCATTATCATTTTGTCAGTAAGTCTTTTGGATTTGAAAATATGTGTGTACAATTCAAACATTCAAGAGTTTGATGGAAATTTATTCTATGTATGATATCATATTAACCTAGCAAGCACAAGTCGGTAATATTTGTCTGCACAATTGGAGTAGATCAAGTGAATTCACGCATGCATCATATGTCTTTATCTCAAATCAATCTTGCTCTAAATGTGAACGCAACACCGTATTTTACTAAATCTTTTTCATTTGCAATCAATCCATGTTCATTCTCTCTTATTTGCAATTGCTTTTATTTACTCAAAGTCTTACTCTTATTTACTTGAATTATTTGAGTGTATGCATTATTGAATCATGCAAAAGATGATAATTGATCATCATAGCTAACAGAGCTTGGGAATAAAGTGCATGGGCTGGCTAGGTTCAATATTTACTTGTTTACTAAACGAGTTTATTACCCTATTTACCTCTAAAAGGTTACTCGGTATGGATAAGATTTTACCTTTTAAGACTGTGTATTAGATAATCTGGTTAATTACTCTAAAGTTAAAAGTAGATAGTAATGATGCGGGTAAAGAAAAAAGTAACATAAAGAACCATGCATTACCCGTTAATCTTTTACGTTACCTTGCTGAGTCTTACGTTCCGATGCACATGCGCCGCGGGAAGGGCAGTGACTCGACAAGCCAGAGCATATACTCTCGATGAATTGGCGACGGTTTGACTATTCAGGAACAGGCTCGCGGTATGTTCATCTTGAATGTCTCCGAAGGCTTGACTGATCTTCGTCTTCGCCAAGGAGACATCACGGAAAAGATCCGACCCGAAGGTCATATCCGTTCAAGAGCGCTCCCATCGTCACGGATGGAATGTACTGTGATGACTCTCACCTCACGTCACAACCCTTAGTTCAGGCTAAGAGATTCCACAATCTCACGTGGGAGCACTTCGGAGTGAAACGAGCTGATCCGACTTGCTTTTTGCTACTGTCACATGTGAGTTACGCAACGTTTGTGTGCCAAAATGAATCATCATCTTTGACTTTGAAACTTAATGGTGTGTAACTTAACCTATCGGTGGAAATTTGTCGCCTTCTAGATCTTTTGTTGCTTACTCCGATCGTAGGAATGTGTTTGAAGGTTACATCAATTGCTAGTTCTTAGCACTCTTGTTTCCTTTATGAGAGATTTTGGAGCAGGAGTTTGAGGGTATAAATTCTCATCATCAGCTTCTACTAAGTTGTCACTCCTTATTTTGCTGCATGCTTTAGACACTTCTAGCAATTGCTTAGAAGTGGCTAAAATGCAATTTACTATATTAGGGTGATTGTTTCATGCACAAAACAGTGCATCAAGTACTCATTATATGAGAGAGAGGAAAAGAATGGAGAGATTTTCTGTCCTCATGTGGTCTATCCTCCCCGGTATCTAAAATCCAAGAATATGAACTCTCCAATGCACATCGTGCTGAAAGCTCTCATGAACTGGTTGGGACCAAGATCAAAAACCTCACTTAGTTTTGTCATATAAGCTTCCACTGATTTTTAACGTCTTCATTCTTTCTGCACAATAAAGCATGTGAATTTGAGCGGCAATTGAGCATACTTCAAGATTGTTATCTTCCTGATGCTTCTAGGCAGCGAACATGTGAATTTAATCTATTATCATATTCAATAAAGCATGTGAATTTGAGCGACAATTGCGCATACTTCAAGATTATTATCTTCTTTATGCTTCTAGGCAGCGAACATGTGAATTTAATCTATTATCACACTCAAGCTTACTTCATGTCAAGTCTAAGCATCATGCTACCACAATAACGGTATTCCAATTGTCTCCAATATCTTTTCTATTCGGACTTTTATTTCTTTCAAATTTCAACTCTCTTGCATGTAATCTTTCTGAGCGTACGTCCACTCGCGGACGCCGAATCATCTCATCATCACATTCTCACTCATGTGGTAAGTATTGAATTACAACTTAAAATCAGTAGATGCTTCTGCAGACTTTATTTACTTCGTCACATATACAATAGAACTTAGCATTCTAAATTGATCTCGAGGATAATTCCTCAAATCCTGACGAGAATAAACCGCTCCCTGTTTTGTCTGCAGACTTCTGTAAGCATATATGTAATACTTGGAACATACTTGAAGTGTTTCTTTTTCATACCCTGGTTAGTATCAATTTCATGCCTCTCACCCAGACTACAGCGCACAAGGGTGAGAGTGTATCCCTTACATATACAAATCAGAGTATTAGCCTCTCACCCGGACTACAACGCACAAGGGTGAGAGTGTATTCGTTACATATACAAACCACTGCGGCTCAAGCTCTCCAAGAGTGAGAGTATATTACTTACGTGTACAAATCACTATAGCTCAAGCTCTCCAAGGGTGAGAGTATATTACTTACATATACAAATCACTATAGCTTGACCTATCCAAGAGTGAGAGTGTATCGCTTACATGTACAAATCGCTGTAGCTCAAGCTCTCAGTCTAGCAAGATACGATCGATGATACATTATTATCATTCTAGAATCATTAGAACGCACTCTCTTACAATAGAACTTGTTTCATGACTCCTTTTTAGTCAATATAATCTACTCTCTCCGTTCGTGTTGCAAAGAGTCAAAAACACTACAATGCATAGTTGCAGTCTTGCACTTCCCAATTCTTGTCACAAGACCACTGAGAGGAAGACATGAACCTTCATGAAAACCATTCAGGTACATTCCTGCAGTGTCGCAGTATCAACAATATTGATACCCGGCCACATACGGTTTAAGAAATGAGCCTCACACGGTTGCATGGAACTTCACATTCTGTAATGATGTTGATGTGTAAAACAGTGCATTTCTCCATCTGGGCAAACTCTGTTGAATGCATACCATCCGATGGATCCTGGAGCCTCGCACTTATCGAGAGTCGACTGTAGAACTTTTAGTGCTTCTGAAAGCACAACTGTAACCCATCCATGTCTCTTTCAATTCTTTCACCGAAAGCTTTATCTGGATTCGCAGATCATATGATAGTATGACCGAGAGTGCAAGTGTGAAGAAACTAGTACAAGCACGCGAAATGACACGTAGGTTCTGTACAATAATGACTCTTCAGCAAGCTTGACATGATAGAAAGTCCGGATGTCAGTCTCGAGTTCTTTCGGCGGAGCATGTCACTTTTAGTGCCATTTTACTCCGCTCCAACCTTTGCTTTCAAGATAAAAAAAAATACACTTCCATTCTCTCTGAGTAGACGATTCCATGAGCCACAAGTGAGACCTATGAAATAGTCGTCTGAAACTACCTCCATTTTCATATAATGACGTCATTCCCTCTTCGTTCGTACCATTCTTTGGCTGCATAATTGGCTTCTTGACATTCTTCACTTCGAGATAGATTTCCACTCACTACATACTCATGAGAGGCAAACAACATTCGGGATCCACTGGAATGCACTACTTGGTATAGAACAAGAACACTCAGCCTCTTTGTTTGCTTCGACGCAATCGTATGAAACAAAAATAACCACTAACTGATCGAACTACAGTAACCTACTCAAACTTCTGATTCTCGTAGCAATTTAAGATATAGTGTCCATTCTACTTCTCTTTCCTAGAATCGGCCTCGGCAGTTGCTTTCACCCTGTTCACCACCGAAGATGTCCTCCACCTAGCATCATCTTTGATAAAACTCCACCAGAAAACAGTCAACGGTACGGTGACCGCATGCCATAATGCGTGAGCATCCAGAACACCCCAGACGGGTGCGAAATCGAATACCTCAAGTAGAATGGCCAGGGCGGTACCAACAACAACAAACAAGAGTTTGAACCGATGAGGATGGCGAGTGAGCCCAGCCCATCCACTCCAAAGAAGCAGTTGAGCTATGCCCAAAGATACGCATACTTTCATATTTAGGCCTGTAATTACCCAAAATTAACAAACAACATATAATCAGTAAGGAGCAAAATCAGGTTTCAAACCATGCAGATTGGGATTCAGAAGAAGTAGTAGTTGTAAGATCCAGACCCATACCGTAATCAAACTGATAGAAGTTTAGGTACAAAATGTGGGTCGTAATGAACGCTAGAATTGGAGCGGCCACCATCACTTGTGCAGCTTCAATCCTCAAGTTACCAGTACGGATGATTGTGACAATGAGTGTATAGCCCAGTAATGCAATCGCGCTGGAGTAGTCCAGCTGCTCGGTAATAGGCATATCCCTGCAAAACAGGCATGTGCAAGCTCAAATGTGTACTCAAAAATGGTCTGAAGGATGTAGACCTTGAGGCACACCACTCACCTCGCTGAGTGGTGCTAGTACTTGTTAAAGCATTCAAACCTTATCATCACCTCTCTCACTCTCATCAAAAATCAATAGAACGTGAAAAACTCTGAAGCCATGATTCATAATTGCTAGGAATGGGAGGTGGGTGAGGTGGGTAGCATCATATTTTTTGTATGTAAACTACGACAAAAATCTGAAAGTATTGCAAAAAATTTCCTGCGTAGAAACCCAAGATCAGTGCCTAGAAAAACGGCTCCAGCAGGATTCCCACGAAAGAGAGGCTTCACGGTGTACCTCGTTTGAGTTCTTTCAATAGTGTCTTCATCTATTGTCTTCACAAAATTATGTTCATGAAAAACCATTTGCCCCAAAAACAGGAGAAAGAGCGCCATGTGTCTCTCGTGTGACAATCAGGTTCGGCTTTCCGAACTTGACCAGGACCAAAATACACATTTTCGAGGGTTAAGCCAAGTTCTCACCGTGAGTGGAAGACAGCACTCCACAGCCACGAGTTTATGGAAAGGAGACCGTATATGATCCATATGCCCCAAAACTCGTAATACGGTGACTTTCCTCCGAGTTGAAGTGCTCGCTGTGGAAGTTTGTAGTGCACAAGAAAGTAAAAGGAGACGACACCTTGCAGGTGTACCAAAAGATTCAAAACTGAGAAGAAGACAGATGCTGGTTCCTGAATCAAGCAATGAAGGTTAAGGGTTGTAAGGCTCCACAAATTACCACCCGAAAAACAGGTGAGTGAAACAGGGAAATACAGATATTAGCATAACCTTACAAAGCAAAAATCTACTTGCATCTCCTATACAAAATCAGATGAACACCTATATCTTCCAAACTTTCCACAAACGAGCAAACGTGTTCCCCAGAAGAAAACAAAATTTTGCGCATCATTTTTCACACAAGGGCTTTTCCATGGATGTTTCACAGGAATAGTCAACCTAAAACTCATTCGGAATTCAGAAAACCTGTCCCGCTACCTGAAGATTGAGCATTCGAGTGAAAGCCCACTTTCCATGATACTTCAACGGAGCCTCCCCAATAGCTGCTCTCTTAGATTCGGTATCCATCATGCATTGGTATCGGCATTCGCTCTTACAATCCCACTCCTCAAATGCCGCCAATAGCGGCGGAGTGTGGGGCTCCTCACTCATACCATCCTTGTTGACTCCATTGACGGGGTGTTGGCAGTTAGAGAAGCATACTTGATCGATGCAGCCACTCTTTTCACAGCTTTCGGTACATAGCCTGGATCATTCGATGGAGACGAGAATTTGCAAGTGAGTATTACAGCTCTCTATAACTGAAAACATTTCAAAACTTGTGAGCATGTCACTACAATTCAAATCTTAAGGTCAAAGTGCTATGCAACAGCCTGATGCAGAGTCTTGTCCCGTCCAACCCTCAAGTATAGAATCCACTTGACATTCAGAAACGCGTCTCGCTGCTTTACGATCCGGCATGTTTGTGCATGTCTGCTACCCATGGAACTTACACCAAGAATATAGCAAGAAAACAAATCCTTATATGTTATTTCAGGGGATGTTGTACCACGTAACGAGGGGAAGTGACGAGTGTCTTTCAGAACTTCAACACTGGTTCAACTTTAGCAAACCTGTGATTAGTTTCTCTGAAGTTGCTTCAGTCAAATGCCTCTCCAGCAGATCTACCTTCCTAACCGAAGCTCATCAGAGCCCAGGGTTGCAATTCCTCTTCTACTTCCCTGCGAGCTCCGTCAGCTGATTTCCAACGGATTACGCATTCTGTACTCAGTCAGACAACTAGGACCGTAATACAGATCATGGGCTGATTTCTGACATGAATCGGAACCACTACTACAGCAAAGATGCCGTGGGCCGTCTCCAGCTTTAGACTTTCTCAAGAGAGACCTGTAGAGGAGTATTGAATATGCTATCCACGGAGCAAATGATTCAAAGTTATACAATAACCGGCCTGCGATGAATAGAATCTCATGACTGTTGAATCTTGCATTCCAGGCAAAACCCCGAAACGCCTAGAAATCGCCGCCTGTTGCTCATATCCCCACTCTACCGTCGGGCCTCCACGAAGCTTCACATTCTCCAGGGACTTCACTATATTCTGTGCCATCAAGAAGTGCGAACCATACCTGTAAGTCGATTGTCGATCGCCTTGACTGGCAACGCAACACGACACTAGAAATGATGACAGCAGTACTAAGACCGGCACCACCGCCGACCTTTCCATCTCGCTCAATTAGCAATGTGACCGGAATTTGGACGACGAAACTTTGCTCGATCGGCTTGTCTTGCGACTCAGCTCTGATATGAAAAAATATGACTCGCTTCTCCCGCGGTTATGCCAGATCTACGCCCTCTATCCTACGCCTTTTGTCTCGCATCAGGTGAGATGCAATGGAGTGAGCTGAGTCTTGCTGCGGCCTCGCTCTTCTGCCCGCTGCGACTGCTGCAGTGCACACGGGGTGGGCTGGGGACGGGCTAGCCCAATGAAATCCTCGACGTAAGAGTGAGCTCGAGCTTGTTGTAGTTGTTGTTGTCCTGAATCATTGTTGTTCAGAGCTCTGCGCTTTCTCGAAGGAAAGTGGGGCGCCACCACGTTCTCGTCATAATTCACCTCTGCCTCTTCATTCTGCCAGCCTCTGCCTGCAGCTACTTCGACGAAGGAACGACCTTGCTCCTTCCTCCCGAAGCCCAACGAATGTTAAGAGCCCTGCGACTGAGTAACAATGCTTGCCTTGGTGGCACTGGCATCGCTGCCGTCTTCCCTCAGCCCCACTACAGTAGTGTCGAGCGCGACGTCCCAAATATATTCCTGAACCGTGTGATGATGATGGAGGCAACGGATGATAGTCCACGGGTCTCTGTCTCTGTTGTACTGCGAACAATCGTCGCGGCTTGGACTCAGCAAGTTGCTGCAATGCTGCTATTCCTTCGCTCTCCGATTGTGAGTCAAGTGCGGAATTCTATCACGACACAGAACGCTCTCTAATATTAGTCTCTAATTTTAGATCCTATATCACTTAACTGAATGACTTTCACATTTAGATTGCTGAATGGGGCTCCGCACTTATTTTGGAAGAGGCTGTTATGGCTTACTACTACCACATGTGGTTACTATGTGTAGTGAGGTAAACATATACTGTCACTGGTAAGAGCTTCAACGCCTAGGCAGGAAAGAAAGTTACTAACCTGGAGCTAAGACAATAAGAAAAGGAGAGAGCTAATGTCTCCCTCGTGATGATGTCCATGAATGCATCGGGAACAATGAGAAGAGCTCAAATACACAATGAGAAGCTCATCAGGGAGGAAGAAAGTTGTGGAAAAGGGAGAATTTGGAAGGAAAAACTTCGATTAGAAAGATGTGTCAGAAGGCAGCAAACAATAGCGTCAGAGAAAAGTGGATAGAGTATCGCTTCTTTCATTCAGAATGAGATCAACTCTGATCAAAACCTACGGAACATTCGCGCATGCTTCTCCCATTGTCGCGTAGGTCTACGTTTAGAAAGCCAACTTGACGCTAAATTGGTTAGAGCATAGCCATAGTTGGTCCGTTTCCTTGAACACATATTATACTCTATTGCTACATGATCCATAAGTTCGGTTACTGACCCATTTCTGGAGTTTCCTGATCAATTTTAGACCTTGCTTATATCCACTTTTATTTTTTATACTACAAAGTCAATCATATGATAGAAAATGTGAAAAAATTAATTATGTGAACCTTTTCTGAATGAAATTTCTATAAGTGAAGCAAGTAATATCTACCATTCATTTGGTGACAAGCACATGATCTGTTTATTTTCCAAAACCTCCTTCGACACGAACAAAATCGAACCAAATTCACTGTAATAATTTCAAAAGGATAGAAAGGTTTTGTCTTTCTTCCAACAAACATATATAATCATGTCAAAATTGTTTACCAACCAATAAATTTTCAATTTACTCAAACAAATATTCAGAGGGGTTAATGAACCGTATATTAAAAGCGGCGAACCTCCAATTACCTTTCACTGCCAAAGAAAGCACTCATAATAACATTTTTAGAAAGAAAAAAATTTGATCCCGAGGACTCATAATTTCAGCGCAATTTCATTTGTTTCACTGAGAATAATCTAAATTAATTTTGTGAGTATAATTGCACTTTATGATCAATTTTTGTTTATAATTAAATAATTCAATTTGACTCATTGATTTTTTATACTAGTAGTAATATTAACTAATCATAATACTATGTTACTACAAATTTAAATATTTTTTATCAAATTATAACATGTCTTCTATGTATAGTTTTTTAGAATGAATTCTCATTCAATACAAAATATGAATTACGTTTTTTTCAAAAAAGTACTACAATTTTTGAAATCCATAATATTTACATGTAAATATTACTTATATCTATTTCCTTTTCTATTATTTTTTAATACTCATAAATATACTACAAGAATACTTGATCAAATAGCACAAAAGATCTTACACTAACACTCAATGCACTAGCGCATGTGATCATAATAACATCAGAAATTATTACATAAAAAAAAAATATAATGTGAAAACACATAACTTTTATTCTAGTTCAACATGTGGCATATCACATTATCAATCCAACTTCACATGTTGTGCCATCCTGTACGTCAATCAATACATAACTCACCATAATATTAGTCTTGGACACGTTATTGCAGTGTTGTGAAGTGAATTTTATAATTTTTTGAATGAAATTTTGTAAAATAACGTTCACTGATTTTTTATTCCACTGCTTCTAATGACTAATATTTTATCATAAAAAACTTGTAAACTTTGAAACTTCAATTTTTGCTCAAATTTCACATAATGCTATTGATAATTGCATTTATTTAGTTTTTAGAAAATATATAAACATGCATATAGTTCAATGTTTTTCAACTATCCATAAAACCAAATAAGAATTAATGCTTGTGTCTATTCTAATGATTGTATAAAAACATTTTTCATATATTTTTTATAATCATGTATCAATGAAACAATGTGTTTTTTCTATCTTGTTGATCAATATGTCTCTCCTTCTATCATCATTTCATAACATGTGGACTATTAGTAACAAAATTCAATTAACGATGTGTATTGTACTATTGTTACTTACAATTAAATTGGTTAGATTTATAATTTAAAAAATATGTATAGCAGCCAGGGCTGTCACCGATGTGAGCGTCTAGCTTCATGTGGTATTTAGAGTTTATGAACTTTGTTTCTGTGTGCGAGATTCCGAATTTTGTCATGGAATCCTTCCTTCCCACAAGGATTCCATGTCGTCATCGTTGTGGGTTCATATTACTTTTAGGTAGAGAGTAAAAAAGAGCGCAAAATTGTGTGTCTTATAATCTTGTTATTTATATTTAAACTTGTAATATTTATAATTAAAAAAATATGTATATCACATAAGTCAGGCATTCAAAATACCATTAGACCCCATTTGGTACAAAGACCTTAGTCTTGTAGAGATAAAGCATTTTATTTAGAATTTTTTTGGATCATTAAAGACATTTTTAATACCAGCAACAATCTTTCATTTTGATTAAATCACTCTTTCGATCTTGAGTTGCTTCATCTAGAAATTGTGTTATTACATGATAAGATAATGATTAAGATTTTTCTTTGTATATCACTTCTACTTAATTAAAAGTAAATAAAATTTCTATCTGTAGTGTAAAATTCTTATATTTTTCTTTTTTGACATCTTATAATGAGTACACTAACATTTAAGTGTGAATTGTACACTAAACTAATTGAATCAATGTTTTTCATTTTTAAATAATCACTGGAAATAAACATATGGTTAGTCATATTATGAGAAGAAATATTATTCGAGGATTTTAAATTTCTAATTTTTATTATACATCAAAATAATTGAAGCTTGTTGTGGAAATCCAAAATCAATCAACATTTTCTTTGATCACTTCCATTTTCAGTGACTAATGGAAGAGATTTTGTAGAATTTGTTGAAGACAAAGATATAAATCTATGTTGTTTACTTTTTCAACTAATAGCTTCACCATTTGAAATAGAAAAAATAATATTTGTAGATATATAATTGTCCTTATCATTTTTTTAACTAAGTTTGTCAAATTTTTTGAAAAAAAAAAATCAATTTCAAAGTTTGTGTGTTGACGTAAAATAGCTTAAGTGATGTTTAGATGACTTCATAGATTTTTAACTAAAATCTAGTGATTTGAATTTGTATAATGAATGCATTTGTCCAAAATCTTATTTAATGAGAAATGTATGATTTCATGGTACAAATATATACTTATAATTTAAATCATTTAAATCATCAATGAAACTACAAAAGAACTGTTAACAAACTAAAAATCTTTGACTTTTTTGATGTTAATTTTTTTTGGTTTTTTATGTCCACAACTTATATAAAAGATGATGTGTGCGTAATCTAATCCACAACAAAAGTAGAAATTGTGACGGCAACATAAGAGAAAAAAATATATTTGATTGAATAGCTTTATCATTTAAATGAAATTGTAATAAAATATTATCAATCTTAATTGTTATAATTAGAATGTGTTACAACTTGCTACATATCACATTATGTACAACTGAAACATAAGTAATAAAAAGAGTATCTCATTTAAAGATCAAACACAACTACAAACGTTAAAGTTTTTTAGATTGAGATTTTCTTTCTTTATATAGATTTTGTAGCAAAATTAAGCTAGTCAAAATTTACGTACAATTCAATGTAAGTGATGTATTGATTACACTTATTCAAGCTTTAAAATACATTGTGAATCTGTATCAGTTTTGCATGAGTAGCAGAAAAAAGTTTAATAGCAATTTTTCTTAACTCTACATAATTATGGTCTATTGTATTTTTGCTACAAGTTAGTTCTAGTTAACTCTAGTTTAAAAACTAACATATGATGAATTTTCTTTTTGATCTTTTTGTATAGTAATTATATGGATAATAAAGTTGATTATTCTAGCTATGAATATCAATATGAGACAAAGATCGTTGATATTAATTTAAGCCTTAACTAAATTTTGGTTAGTTAAATTTGATTAAGATTTATGTTTAATTTTTATTTGTTTGATTAGTTAAGGTTTCTGTCACCAACTATATAAGAGTACCAGCCATAGGTTGCATTGAATAATTTTAGATCTAGTGAATATTTTTGGTTTTTCAACAAGTAGTTAAGTAACAACGAACTTTATACGCTTGTGTTGACGTTGTGTGTTTCCACATATGTTTGTATTCTTTGTATTTTGTGGATTTTTTATTCTTTTAATTCTATAAATATAATTTTAAAATATTTGAACTATCATGATTACCTCTTTAAATATATTTTGTCAACTTTTGTGTGTAAAAATTGGACATAAAATATATATGATTCATCATTTTGAATTAAGCTCAAACATGTGCAATAAAACTTATCTATTGAAACCCTATTGTGTGTCATTAATCAGGTTGTTAATATAGTAATAGGCTAATTAACTTTATTATATCAGTATTAAGCTAACTAAAGTTGATTAAAACATGATTTTAGTCATTTAGAAATATTTTTATTTTGCAACACGTTTTATTTGTAAATTTTTATCTTTGTGTTGCACCAACATTTAATGTATTTTTTTCTCTTAATTTGTTTCATTATTTTTTAGTTAAGAGATGTGTTGCAAGTGCTATCATGTTTATCATTATCGTTATCATACATTATTTTGGTGCTTTAGCTTGAATATTTTATATTAAATTTTATCATCAATACTTGTGTACATTGATTTTGATATCTTGTACCAGCGTTTTGATAATTTTTTACTTTAATTTATCTATTTTTCTTGGTTCGTAAAAATGTTGATATACCACTTTGTAATTTCATTCTGATTTATAAACATATAATTTATGAATAACGTCAAATTATAATATAAAAGTCATGTTTATGATTGCATGTATTTGCAATAGAATGCACGATTGACCACGTTGGATATCATTGCTAATGTCACAATTTTAGGAATGACTGATTATATTTTTTCAAGTTTTGTTATTAAAGTGTTGTGATGGCGCAACTTGTAATGATTTTATTATGCATAATCATCATGTGAACTCTTAGCTTGAAACATGTAAGATATCATAAATCCAAGAATTTTAATGATGTGATAAGCTTGAGATGTCTATTCTTGATTGCATGAATTAGAAGTTAGGATCTTTAAGATTATCGGAAAAAAAATGAATTTTCTTTAGAAAAATCATGTTTGTATCAATGATCTAAAATAAATATAGCTAATATAAGCATTCTGTTTTTTATTGAGGTGATGTAGAATGATATTTTGTTAAGATATCACATTAACCAATATAATTATTACTTCATATTCATTGTGATTACTTGATCATTTGAACATAGATGTAAAAGAAATATACTGAAATTTTATTCTTTAAATTTAAAACTTTCTTCCTTAGACAGAAGGAGAATTGTAGATTTGGAAAGAGAGATGAGAGAATTGTCTTCTTGTTTTTTGTTTTCGGGTTTTGATTTAGGGTGTACTTGTTTGTATGGATAATCATGAAGCATGTCACAACACATAGATAAAGACACTATTTCAGTCAAAGCCCTTACAAGTGATAATTGGATCGAATGAGATCCGTTAGAGTTTTATAAAACATGGTAATTATTATTCTGTATATTCAATATATTTCCAATGTACATTCCTTGGTAAAAAATTTCACAATGTGGATTTATAGTTGGAATGACTATATGTCATACTTTCATGTAAATATATTATATATCCAGCTATAGTATATTTTAGCCTTCTTCACGCTTGTTTCATCAAACAAGGCCGGGTACATTGCATACAACTTTCATCATGGTAAGTTATCAACATGTAGTGAAATCATTTCGTCAACTCTTCACCTCCAGCACAAGCCAGAGTAAAGTCCAAGTCTACAGAAGAAGAATGTGAAGCTATATTAATAGGGGACGCAGTAAAGTATGTTGGCATAAAGTAAGCTGGACTCCAAACCACATTGCTGATTGCACAACACGCACACAAGAATATTCAACAGTTCTTTTGGATGTCTCTGACGCCTTATCCGAAACTAATATGAATCCAAATCTTTCCTTTTAATAAGTTTTCTTCTCAAAAGTATTACCTGGACGTACATGGAGGTTCCTTCCTACTTTTTCATTTGTCCGGTATACTTGGAAGATTTACAAAATCAAGTAGGGAGTCAGCAGAAATCAACAGCTTAATTATTCTACTTCGGTTTGAAGATACATCGGAACTCACACACGATGTTATTCAATATCCGCCATGTTGTTAATGGATGAATGTATTTATACGCAGACGATCATCGCAACTGATTTGTATTGATTTGACAAAATCTGTACAAGACCCCGTATCAGAAAACAAATTATAATCGTATAAAATCTTCATTGTGAATTGTTGGGGCTTGCCCCTGAATAGCGGTTTCCTTTCATCATTATACACTTGATGGGGTCTTTCCATCTTTTTTGCTTGGTCTTTGTTTTTACTCTATACGCAACCTGTTACTTTCCAAAATCGGTTACATGGTTTGAAGTGTCCAATGTGTTTATTTATACATCACGAATCAATTAATCCAACTCATGCTTAACTAACCAGTCCTTAACATTGTATACTAGATTGTCGAGGTCCATCATCACCGGATGAGAACAGTTTATTGAGAACAACCCCCGTGCAAACCATAGTACTGGAATGTCTGAACGTTACAGTTTAGCAATCCGGTAGAAAATATCTTCTGGAAATTCTTTGACAATGAATAAAATGTTGAGAGCAACGTGAAGACAGAGGCAATGTTTAGTCAATACATATACATATATATATGTGTGTGTGTTCGTGCGTACACACTTGTGTGTGCATAAATATCTGGTTATTGTGGTCTCATGCACTGCACCACCCTCAACGGCACCTGCTTCCAGCCTGCACAAAAAGAAACAATATAAAAAATGATAAAGGAAAAGGAAGAACATCTGCTCAGATAAGAAATCGTTATCTTTAGAAGCACTCAACAACTCCACCAGCAGTTGTGGATACTGGAAGCCTCGGACCCAACTCGGCGTAAAGTCGTTGCCCTTATAAATAAGTAAATAAATGAATAAAAAGAAGCCTTTACATCTGGACACACTGTTGTGACGACTAAGAGGGTTGTTAAATACATGTCTTTTCTACATTTTGAAGGGGGAGTAATTGCGTCCTCTCATAGCCATTGGATCGGATTAGTATAGAGTTTCTAAGTTCCGGCCGACATTATTATTTTGATGATTAAGAAATGTGTAAAGGCTCTCTTCCTACGGGGAGTAATCGATGACTTCAATCGGTCAATGCACAATGTGTCTTAACTTGCAGTCCAATTCTTTATTCCATAGTTTTTTGCAAAGTCAAATTCGGTGCTTGCATCTCCTTTGTCTGTTGGTCTAAGTCGTGGACCAACTGGTTACGGGATGTCGACAAGGAGCTGACTCCACTCCCGTCCACTCCGCCCTTCCCCACTCCACATAGCCACCTTACGCACGTACGATGCTCGCGGACGGCATCGACACCCTCAGCTACTCCCCAAAGTCCTTCCTGACTTTCCGTTGCATGTTACAGTACACCTTTCGTGCACACTGTAGATCGAGCTGTGGTTACTGATTTCTCGAGTCGACCCCCGAAACCGGGGACGTGGTTACTGGTGGACGGGACTGCGCTGCAGTCGCTCGCTCAAAGGAGAGACCACCCTGATGAACGTGGTTCGCAGTGCGTGACTACTGGGTTGAGCGTCGGCGTGGCAGGCTTCATGAAATGGGCCGAGTTCGCGCGTGGCAGAAGGTGTAGGAGGGAGCAGGCGAGGACCGACCGCTTAGACGGGAGGCGAGAGTTCGAGAGGAGAGGGGAGGGGAGGGGAGGGCAGGAGCGGAGCAGGGACGGGATGGGACGAGAGGCGAGGCGGGGAGTGCAGTGAGCGCGGGGAATCGACGAGAGGCGAGGGAAGGGAAGGGAAGGGAAGGGAGGGTGAAATTGAAGTGGCCTGAACTGGAGTCGACAGAAGGGGAGGGGAGTGCGGGGGAGGAGGGCGAGATGGAGGAGGAAGATGAGGTTGCGATCGCCAGTGGTACGACGTGGAACGTAGTGGAAGGTTGCTTGGAGAGATCGTTGGGCATTGCCAGAGAAAATGATGAAGTGGAGACCCCCAGCCCTACGAGCAGACTGGTCCTGGTGCCGCCGTCAGGAGAATCTGTACCCTGCGAGCTTACAGGTAATTGCGCGGCGCGGTTGAATTTCTGTGAGAATGGCGCCCGTTTTGGGTCATACGTTTGCCGCTGGAGTGCTGCAGTTGTTGCAAATTGTGACAATTGCGAACCTGACGAGTTACTTCTGCTCGTTGGAAACGGAATTGAGACTCTTGCAAGTAGCTCTGGTTCTTGGATGTGTAACCGTTTCGTACCAGTTGATACTTGGAGACAGTATGTTCACCTTGCGAAAATGATCGACCTTGCATGCTTTTGAACCAATTGACAGTTATGGTTGGTGGATTGCATTTCTTCTAATTGGTGTCTTTTCTTTGAGTGAAACGTTGTCTTAGGGTGTCAACAGGTCCTTGGCATGTTGTCACCCCATTCCTTCAGTGTTGACATGCCGCGTATTACCGGTTCAGCATAGTTTTCGTTCTTACTCAGAGAGGCGGTACTTATTACGTCGGACAAAGGACGTTGTCGAGCTTACATGCATGCTCGCTGATTCATCTTCGTTTAGCGATTGCTTTTTTTGGCTGACAACTACTTCAATTGCTTCACCGACTTCTCAGTTGTTTGTAGTTTGGAACGAAAGTTCCCGACCTTTAGACAAGGAAACGACTTCCTTGTTTGTCGGATTTGGATCACCATTACCTGGAACACGAGTGCACAGACAATCAAGTGTAGAGTTGGGGCAGCTTTCTGTTCTGACAGTAGTTGTTGACTGTGGTTAACAAGCGGACTGGGAAATATGAAATTGTCCATTATGTTACCATAGTAATTGATCGGGTCCTTGAAGCCACTGAGTTGTTTGTCCGTAATTTTGGAAGCATCCATCGTTGCGCCGTAACCAGAATTCACGTTAAAAGATGAGAATTTATTTGTTTTAGGGTGCAAATTGCCTCGGATTGATCGACATAGAGCTTGTTGTCTGTCCACTCTAAAACAGTATTTTTTTTTAATCTTTTTTCTTTGTCATCAGCAGTCTGATGAGAGATCCTTTCTTTCACCAGTATTGTTCGCTGCTCATCTGGTTTGGAACAGACGGTCACCATGTGGGGTAGCTCATCGACGGTCAAGATAGCTTCTATCGTGTACTTTTTCAGAGTCGTCTGTTTATTAGTTTTTCTGTAAGTCAATACAGAGAACTGCGGGTGGCACTGGGGTCAACCATGTAAATGTTAATAATAATGTTCACAATGTTTACCTTGTATTCGTCATTAGCTCAAGCAAGATGTTTAGGGTGCTTTTAAGCAAGTTATATGTTGGAGCTGTACTCACTAACCTGCAATTTTTTGTTGATGGCACTGAGGGCTCTTAGGTTGTATCGATGAATTTTCTCGTCGAAGTTGCCGAATTTAGTGATTGTTTGTTCTTGGATTGTCTTTGACAGTCACGTTCCAGCGGAGATTATGTAATGTACGCCAAATTTATGTGCTCAGTAGCGCACGAACTTTGGAAATATACAGTGAGTTGGAGCAAGATGGTGAATCGGAGTATGTCACAACTGTTCGTGGGGAATTAGTCTCCTTTCCTGAGGATGACGTTTCAGCGAAAAGGACGGAGGATGGGCGACGAAGTTCCTCCCAGTCTTCCGAGAAACTCAGAGGAGAAGATGGTGCCTCCCGGCGTGTGTCTTTGGCTTCCAGCGACGAAACTGAAATGAAGTCCACTGAAGAGGGTGATCAAACTCATAATCCAGTCAAGGTAGATAACGAGATGTTGGCTGGTTTGTGGAAGGAGCAATATCTCAACTTGAATGGACCTTCATCGGGCGAAAACAGAGATTCGGAAGAAGAGTCATTTCAAAGTTTATCAGATGACGTAGCTGGGAAGATGGTCGAAGGCAACATCACTTTTGATGAGCCTCTGGATCAAACTGACTGGGTCGAATGTCCACACAGCCCAATGAAGAGCAGTGCCCTTAGTAGCGATGACGAGGTTGACTTCAACAAATGTGGATTCTTCTTAGTGGATTCTGATGGTGAGGCCCAGCACACACAACACTCTCTGGCGACTTCATTCAGTAAGAGAATCAACAGTTTTGTCGAGTATGCACTAAGTCCTCTTCTTGAAGCAGGTGGAAAGCAAGCCGTTCACCTTGGCGGTAGTGAGCTGCTAAGTGGGGAAGATGAAGCAGCAGTTTTTAAGATGGACGCTGTATCAGATTCCAGTGGCTGGAGCAAGAAAGAGGAGAGTGTGGGACAAGTTCAGACTGGCCAGGTATGCATACTTGTTTTTTTATGTTCTCATGCTAGCACCACTCAGCCAGGGCGCTCCGTCTATTGTTTGCAGGGTATGACAGGCGCCTACAAATCAGTTCAGTTTGTATAGCTCCAGTGAGTACAATAGTTTGATGCTAACATCAAGCTAGATGCCAATACCAATTTACTTGCTTCTTCTTAGAACGATGCCTGTGCTTTCTGTTAACACTTGATTCAAATTCGAATGATTGAAGGAACAAAGCGAGCTCCCTGCAGCGCCGTCGATTGAGGTGGTAATCGAAACTGCCGTCCAGAGCGACAATGTCTCAGTTCTCAGGGATGTACCAGATGCTGAGAGTCCAAGAAAGCTTAGTGATATTTCTTATCATAGTGATCGGCAGGCGTTGGAGAAGGCCTGCTTTACAGATTTGGGAAATAGTACCGGAGAGACGAAGGAAGTGTTCCTGTTTCAGATTCCTATGTTTGAAGCTGAAGTGAATCTCGCTAGCTCAGACTTCTGGAGATCGGTGAAAATTCGCCTTCTTTCGTTAGAGGACAAGTCGAAGTTGGAAATTCATAAGGTGATTGTCACTATAGTACCTGGACCTCCAGTTCTCCCCACGTCTAAGATATCTGGTTCTTCTGGATCCTTTCAGCAAGGTGCGGGATCGTCATCCCTTCTGGCAATGTTCGCTCCAGGCATTTTTCAGATGGCTCGAGGACTGGCAGAGTCGCGTAAAGTCAACTCATTAAGACAGTTGTCAGGTGATACTAAACTACCTGATATGAAGGTCTCGCCTTCTACAGATTCTACAAACGCAAGCCTGTCGGTACACGGCGCAGAACTTTCAAGCCAGCAACTCAGAGCTTCTGGAACAGCTCCATCTTTGACGGGATGCATCAGCCCAGAGAAGTACGATAATTATTTTAGAGAAAAGGAAGCTGCCCCTGCGTTCTGTTCCAACAGTGTGAGTAAGTCGTTAGAGGAGTCTTGCAGAACAGGGATGGGTTCGATGAAGGACTCTTGTTTCCCTGTGGTCCATAACGGGGAGTCAGCGGCTGAATCTGACCTGTCTGATGTGATAGAGACTGGTGAAACGAAGAATAGCCAACGTGAGAAGGTAAAAGAATCTTACCATTTCAAAGATGATGATACAGATCAAGAGGTTCTCCAACGATTGGATAGGTTGGAGGCGATCTGTCTTCGCATGGAAAATTCCTTGAATTTTACTCTTGAGAACATGGACAGACGGCTCAAGCTGCTGGAGGCAGGTGGTGTCGGGAGGATACCTGTTACTGGACAGCCTTTCTGGGGAGCAGGATACGAATCAGGTCCATTCGTCTCGGCCGCTTCTGTTAATCTTCCTCCTGTGCAAACAGGATTAAGGACAGGTCCTTCTTTGGACAAACAAGCACACGGCTGTACATCTGTACCGGTCGACGCACATGCGGGACAACTCTCGTCACAGGGTCATGCAACTAGGATAGCTCCTTTCTACCCTGGCCTTCTGTCATCTACGTCGCCTTCCTTGCTGTCATCTGTATCACCAGCTTTGCCATTGTGGCCAATTTCATCACCGAAGCACTTGTCACCGGAATCAAAATCCTGTGCCTCGAGTACAACTACTTCTACGCTTAGCAAGGATACTCATGTGCATCAGTTGAATGGCTCCTCTAATGGGCTTGATGCTCCAATCAATGCAGAGGAAACCTTCTGGGAGACTCGAACATCTGATGATTCGGGAAGTGAAATGTCCTCAGACTCCGAACATACCTCCTATGCAGACAACTCCGAGGATCCTGGCCCGTCATCTTGTCCTGAGTCCGTGTCGTCTTCGCCTGCTAAACCAGTTGAACTGGTAGAGAATGCCTTGGCTTCTGCTCTGTCAGCGTTCTCAGCTTCGTTCGATGCTGCTGTTGTGATAGAAAAAGAATCATCTCCTAGGGAAGAGGAAGACACTGCGGCGGAAGATAGTTTCAGTACCAGTGAGGAACATGGGCCTTTAGTTGATGTTGATTGCTTTTCGCATCCGGCCGCGGACGAAATCAAACATTCGAAAGCAGAGGATTTATTTATGCAGGGTTATGAAGCGATTCCCATTTCGGTTGAGAAGGGGTTGGGTGATTTGAATGTGGGTGAACTTAGCCAGGAGGATGTTTTCTGGGCTTCTGAGGTTGGAGGACATGACAAGTCAAGCCAGATAGACTGGCAGGATCAGATGTTGCAAACTCAAGAAGAGAATGTCTACTTTCCGCGCAAGGTTTCTTCCGAATCGGTAGGAAAGAGTCCAAAAACGTCTCACGCATCTCCGGATCTTCTCGATTTTTCCAATATTATCTCTATGGATGACTTGACGACCTACGATCTTTTTCCTACCGATTTTGAAAGGATTCTTCGAGAGGATTCGAGAACAGAGTTGACTGATGCCGAGCGCTCTGAAGCAGGCTTTCAGACCATGAAGCATGATATGTTACCCAATCCTTTTCTGCAGGAACTATCCTTTGAAGGTGATGGAGATGTCACTGCTGCAGAGGTATCATGGTTGGAAGAGTGGAACGAGAAGCATCCGGCAAGTGGAGATAATGTGACACTTACGTATATGACAGTCAGGGGTTTCACTAAGCCTCTTGACCCAGTCAAAGAGATGCTCCTGCAAGAGGAAATGTTTCCGGAGGACTGGAACTGGTTCACCTCGGAGGGTCTTCCATCTCCAAGCGTGAGAGAGATTCCAGACCCTATCTCAGGAAATGGATCAAACATACCAGAAGCTACTTCGGCCGCATTTGTACATCTTAATGTTGAGGACGATGCTCCAGACAAACCCCCTTTCAACATTGAACGTCGTTCTCTACTTGATACGGATGAACCCACTGTGGCTGCGAAGTTTCATGCGGATGTGTGTTACGACGACTGGGTTGGACAGAAAACTCATTGGTCTTTATTGGATGAGGATCCTCCAGTGGCCTCGAATGAGGAGATAAAATCGCCTGAAGGGCGCTCAGATGACTGGTTTCGACAGAGAGCGCAGAGGTCTTTACTAGATGAGGATATGTACATTCCTTCTAAGAATATCTTCATTGGTGAGAGAGAAGGAAGTGTTATGTCTCCATGCGTTTCTCCAGAAGAACAATACGACCTCTCGGGTGTCATTAGGCCACCTAAGTGCACAGACGCAGAACGATCACCATCGTCTCACACTTCGAGGTCAAACCCGTTCGAAGACGATTGCAATGACAGGTTGGGCTTGAAGCAGGAAAACCAAATTCCTCCTTTGAGAGACTTGCTTGAGGATTTTGGCGAGGAGGTTCACGAGTTCGAGGCCCCTGAATCCGAGCGCACCCAATCACTTCTGTTTCACTTGAGCCTCTAAATTGTACCGCTTTCTTTACATATAGCCAGTAACACCTCCATTTCTACATATAGTTTGTGGGTTAGTTTGAAAAATACGAGGAAATACTGACAGTTCACAATAAGAGATGGTGAAGGATAAATTATGTCAATATATACGCCATCCAAGCAAGTAGGTCTTGCTATGTGTAATTAATTTCTACCATAGGCACTGGATATATTGGGAGCGGGCTTGCCTCAATCTTTAAGTGTGAATATGCGAGGTAAGATTGTCCCTTACGGAGGAAAAACCATGTCTCTCAAGTCAATAATGTAAATATGATTCATTCTCTTATCAGAATTTTGTAAGTGTACAGTCTTCCCACGCTACAAAATGTGGATATGAAATATAGCTACGAGAGTGTTGAAATCATGGTAGCATGGTTGAATTCAAGATGGAGGTCTTCAGTCTTAAAGTTTTATAGTGTCTTGGACCCCGTCTTGGAACTGCCGTTTTCGCAGCTGAGCCACGAACTGAGTACTCACAGTCATGTGTCTTGATTGTGGCTGCTAGATGTGTAGATAGCATCCAGATTGAATGGTACTGAGTGGATTCTTCTCAACTTTAGAGACGTTTTACTATCCAATACCAAACCTGAAACACATATGCAGTACATTTGGATGAACTCTTGCCCTGTGCTGGTTTTATTTGCGTTTAACGATATAGGCGTTTCCCATATTGTCTCTCATGGCATAGGTCTTTGTACGCTAAAGTATTATTTCGCCATTATTAAGAGTGGATTGCTGCTGGGGGAACGACTGTACATGTAGCTATGGTAATTGCCAGAGATCATAGATTAGACGTTCTTACCAACTGGTCCCACGTCAGATACCCAGGTGCCGTCGTTACTGGGCATTTCACGCACTTCGAGGTTTTGCCTTGAGGCCTTAGATGACTCTGAGTGAAGGGCAATTACAGCGACACACCAGCACTACGCAGCACAATTCCTTGGCAGTTGGTCAGGTGTTCCTACCCTTGGTTCAGCCTGTGTGAGATGTGATTTGGAACCTGGCTGTTTTGAATCTCGTAATCTGCCTGAAATATTACAATATCTAAAGTGACTGAGGAATACACATGGAGATACAGATGTCAATAGTCATTACAGAAGATTTAGGGAACACAACTAACACGAATGACTCAAAAGTCTCCACTATCGCTACATTGCCCTTCTGAAAGTATTGGTTTATGGGCGAAGACTACTCGAACTACTACATATATGTGTTAAAGGTTGTCTTATATTCTTCTCTACTTCATCGTTCATCAACCGTTGTTAACGTTCCCCTAAAAGGTTGGATTATGGTACTTAAGGAGAGATGAATATGAATACTTTGGGGCTACTTAAATGCCCACGTCCTGCCTCAAAGCTGTCACAGCACAATAGAGATATTTTGTGCATTTCAAAAGAGTGTCGTGTTACGTTGTGTCGAAGTCGCAGTCGAAGCCAAAGATGCCCTTACCCCTGCTCTGTTTGTTGTTCATTGTGATTACTTATGTCTAGTTGATTTCTTATCTCACATATCACTTTCACCAAAATGTTATAATTTGGTCCCACATGAATCTAATCTTTTCCACCTATCTTGGTTCATCTGGAGTGTATACAGTTTAGAGTTATTAGGTACTTAATTTGCTTTTGGTACTTCAAGTTTAGCCTCATGTGATGCTAATACAGAGAATATGTGAACACTGCTGGGTGATAAGAAATGATTCTCACATGGAGCTGCACCATGAAACATTTCTCACGGATGGGGTCAAGATTTCAAGATTGGTCATTGAAAGATGAGACCAATCTTTCAATGAAATGAAAGATTGGTCTCATCTTTTATTTCATTTCTCACATCTATCCGTGAGAAATGAATTGAAAGATGAGACCAATCTAGCCATAAAAGCTAGAACTATGATTTATGAATGAACAAGGACATATGAATTTGATTGCTACATCATTTATCAGATCCTTTTGCTTTGCAAAGTTACATTCATCTGAATGATGCATTGATAGTAGATTTGGTTTAACCTTTGAGCATTTTCATTTGTTGATGAAAGCTTTTTGGATTTCTCCACGAAGAGTGACGTAAATTACGAGGAGGTCAAATAAATTATTTCAGTTTAATTCATAGCCGTACAATAAAAGCTAAAAAGGATATTACTATTAAGGCTATTAAAAATTGTTACAAATTTAAATCTGCCAATGAATTCATATTTTAAATCGTTCATGAACAAGTAATGAAACGTATGTCTTGAAGAATACTACAAGAATTTGGGATTTTAAAAAGAAAAATTGATTTCATGTGTAAATGTATATCTTTTCAATTTAAACATATCCAATATGCTGTTATGATTAAGATAATAAAAATCAAGTACATATTGACACTAACATTTTTGAAATCCATATATAAATGTATTATTGACTCCAAATATTTAATTGAGTTAAATACAGAAAATCAATCATAAATCAAATTTGAATTGTATAAGTTTATAGTTTCATTATAAGATTTGAAAATCAAGAAAATAAAAAAAACGGATCTAAAAATAACATTTTGAAAATTTTAAATTCTAAAAATATTTTTTAAAAAATAAATCTTTAAAAAATTATACATCACCATTCATTTGTATCTAAATAAATAATCAGTTCATAAGTTGTGAACATATGAGAGATTTCTATGAACAAGAAAATTGATGATTTTTCACTAATTGTGTCATACAAATTATGGTTAGAAAATAAAAGATTTACTATAAGATAATGAATTATATTTTGAGTTTTTAATTTCTTGTATATCACAAGTAAAATTTTATATTGCGAGGCAATATCAAATTCATGCAATTAAGTTTAAAACTCATACTACATACATCATATTTTTTGAAGTCAAATTTTCATATTTTTATTTGTATTCTTAGAAATATATATTTTTTATATTATGCAAGATTATTAACCTAATTTGAAACTTAAATATCATTACATTAAAAATATTCTGAATTATATTCATAAACTAAATAATGAAATTATAGATATTTTTGACATTTACGTTAAAAAATTTTCTTATTTAAATTTTCAAGATAATAATCTACTATCATAAAAATTTTTATATTCATAAATTTTTTTTATAAAGATGTTTTTCAATTGACTAAATTTACCTATCTTAAGATTGTGCTTAGATGGTTTTTAATTATATCTATGTGTATATCATTGAATAAAAATTTTATGTTTTTTACATGCATAAATATATTTCAAATAATTTTACAAAAATTATAAATAAATTATTTATCAACTATAAGATAAATCTATCAATGAATATATTGAAATTTCTCGAGAAGTGAACAAGTTTATCATTACATTAAATCAAGAATATATTGAATTAATATATATATATATATATATATATATATATCAGGATATAAGAAATTTAATATATAAATTTAATTGATACATTAATATTTAATTTTTCCAGTAATTGGTTTAGTATGATTATAAAATCAAAAATCATAATATTGCATTCATTTATATTAATTCTTTTAGTGTTAATCTATATGTTTAAAATTTAAACTCATTTGTTTCAAATTTTACTGTTAAAATGTTAAATATTTTCATTAAGAAATACTAAAAGATACAGAAATTTCAAAAACAGCTAAATTCTAAAACAATTTTCTTCTTAGTTTGAAATATTTATTATATGTATCTAAATTTTAGATTAAAGAGGGTGACGGAGATGAATTGCATGTTTTTGTATCTTGTAGTTACACAATAAAATCCTAATCATGAACATATATGTTTTCTAGAGAGAGAGATTGATTCAACATAATATTTGTTCATTGTGAATGATTGAAAAAAATATGCTTAAAACTTTATATGAAATTTTGAGTTTTTGTGCAATCTATAGTAGAATTTTAACTCTGCATTGTTTGCTGTGTTTATGATTTGAGATTTATTATGTTACTACTCCGTAGAATCCAGCAATAGAAGATTATTGTGAGTTTTGACGTTACATCGGAAACTAATCGATTTGATTTCAATGTCAATATTGATATTCAATCAACATGTTTGATATTTTTTTTTTGTATGATATATTTTTGATGACAGTAGTACATCATTTCAACTTCTCACACTTACTGTAAGTAGAAAGTTCAAATTGGCAAAAATTTAGTAACTCCATCTTTAATCTTTTGTTGGGTTCATGTGTCTCTTAAAGGAGTGAATTACATGTGATAAGGATTGAGGAAGTTTAAAATCTGACACAAGACGAGCAATATCATCTTAAAACTAGTAAACATATTGTGTAATTTGATTTTTTTTCGAAGGTATTCACCTCAATAAGTGCAGTTCGATTCTGCTGTCCAGTACTTTCTGTTGGTTAAGAATGCATTTTCTGATCTCGTTTGGAAAAAGTGTGATGGTTAGGGATGTCTATTCTGTATGCACACGTCTCTTTGTTGTAGCGACGCACCGTCACCATTTGTCATCTAGATGGGGTGGATTGTGCAAATACATCCAAAGATCTTTACAACTCAATCACATGATGTAGTTTCCCTTGTAGAGACATATGATGTATTGGTACATGCAAGAAACAACGTTATACTTGAAAAAACTCCTCTCATTGGCATGGTTGTCGATCTCGTGAGGGCATAATGCCGCAAATTCCGATATAGAGCATTGCCCCTGCTAGCCATTTGTACACTGAGATGTGGTTTCTATAATATACTTCAACACTTGTGTTAATGAAATTGATAAGTTGCAGGACAGAAAATGGAATGCCATTGGTAGTCTTTGTCAAGAGGATGCATCACGCTAAGTGTGAGCGGAGTAATGCCATCCACGTCGGTTGGATTACTAGGTTTGCATCTGCTGTGGTCGTAGTCTGCGAATGGCAACAACAGTACACACTCCAAAAGCATCCGATATTTGTATAGGCTGTTATGCTATGGGCTACCAGGTAGAGAAAAATCTTGAGCGAGCATATGTGGTTTGCTTCCTTTCTGCCGAAGCAAGGTGGCTGGGATTCAACCACGTAAACGAGGAACCGCGCGACAAAGCAGACGATGTGGGTCGGCACCGCAGGCGAGGCGAGGCGCCTGGAGGATGTTGCTTCGGCAGAGGAGCACGGCGGAGTGACAGGACAGGAACGCGGAGCGACTGGCGAGTGTACCATGGCCAAGCTTACTGCGGAAGGAACAGTGCGGCATATTCCTACTCGTCCACGGAACCTGCTCTGCTCCACATATCCTCTCGGCCCCGCACCCGAAGCCATATCCTGTGAAAAAACAAAACGAAGGGCAGAGAGTGGGCTTTACGATCTCTCTAAACCCCGCGTTCCGATATCTCCACCTGACGGTGCTGCTTCTCGTTAGCGCGCGTCCTGTCCCATTCAGTTCTTTATCGTGCGTGTGTGCACTCCCGGCACACGCTCGTTCTTGCGCACTCTTCAACTCCTCGGCTCGCTGCTGCTGGCGGATTTCCTGCACATTTCGGAGTTCCACATCGTGCGTCCGGGGTTCGAATTTCGGCTTGGCTTCGGGTGGGATTGACGGGCCCCATGAGCCTTCAGGCTGCCAGCACCTCTTCTGCACTCAGCTGTTGACGCGCCGATTTCAGGCGTCTGATTGATTAGATTCGTGGTCGAGATGGAGGCAGTGCACGTCCAGTCGCAGCTGCTGCAATGCCCATTCCTTTCCGACAAGAGTGGGCTGTTGAGACCTGGCAGGAGCACGCCGAAAGAAGTGAAGGACGGAGGAGGCGACTGTGGACGACGAGGGGAGAAGTTGGAAGTCGTGGTTGTCGGTGACAGAAGTGCGTGGGGCTCAGCTTCGATGAATGCCTCGTCTGCTTCTCGAGGGTGGTGCTTGGAGGCATTGTCCGTGGCGCGGGCTTCCATCGCGCGGAATTCTGGGAGGAAATTTGCAGGTTCTGTGGAAGGGTGGAGTCGGGGATTCTCTGCGGCAGGGTTGAGGAATCCTCAGGTCGACCGAAGTGAACGCGTGAAATCGCGTGTCACCACCACCTTTGCCACGGAGGTTGCCGAGACAGCGTCTTCGACGTCATATCCCTTCTCGCTGGGCGTGGAAGAACCTTCTGGAAACGGAGCCTCAAGGGACCGTAGCTCCAAGAAGGACAAGGCAGGAGCATCCAGCGTTTCCTCAGGTGTTCGACTCGAGCACATCAGCAAGACTTACAAAGGGCAGCAAGTTTTGAAGGATGTCAGCTGGGAAGTGAAGAAGGGAGAGAAGGTGGGGCTAGTAGGTGTGAATGGCGCGGGGAAGACCACTCAGCTGAGAATCATATCCGGTGAGGAAGAGGCTGACTCCGGTTCGGTAATCAAAGTCAATCAAAAGATGAAAATTGCCTTTTTGACTCAAGAGTTCGAGGTGGTTGCAAGTCGTACAGTGCGCGAAGAGTTTCTCAATGCATTTGGTGAGCAGATGGAGATATCGAGGAAACTCGAGAATGTACAAGTTGCCCTGGAGTCTGCCACAGAAGACATGGACCTGATGGCCAAATTGCTTGATGAACTCGATAGGCTGCAGAGGCAAGCAGAAGCCGTAGACATGTACGATGTGGATGTCAAAATAAACAAGATCATGGCAGAATTGGGATTCACTCCGGAAGATGGGGACCAATTGGTGGCCGCGTTTAGTGGCGGTTGGCAGATGAGGATGTCATTGGGGAAGATTCTGCTGCAAGAGCCGGACTTGTTACTGCTAGATGAGCCCACAAATCACTTGGATTTGGACACCATTGAATGGCTAGAAGGCTATTTGAAAAAGCAGGACGTACCCATGGTGCTTGTATCCCATGACCGAGCATTCCTTGACCAGTTGTGCACCAAAATTGTAGAGACTGATATGGGCGTCTCTCGAACTTTTGAGGGTAACTACTCTGAGTATGTGCAGGCCAAAGCCGCATGGATAGAAACTCAGCGCATGGCGTGGGAGAAGCAGCAAAAGGAAATAAATAAGGCCGAAGAGTTAGTTCAGCGACTCAGCGGGGGAGCCAATTCTGGTCGAGCAACATCTGCGGAAAAACAACTGGAGAGAATCCAAGAGGGACAGTTGGTGGAGAAGCCCTTTGAGCACAAGCAACTGAAGTTCCGCTTTCCGGAGCTGGAACGCAGCGGGAAAACTGTGCTGGAAATTGACAATCTCTGCCATCAGTACGATGGGAAGTCTCTTTTCGACAATGCCAAACTTTTGGTGGAAAGAGGAGAGAAGCTAGCTATAATTGGTCCCAATGGATGCGGAAAAAGCACTCTCTTGCGCTTCGTGATGGGAAATGAAGATCCTACTTCCGGGGATGTCGACCTAGGTGAGTACAGAGTTGTTCCTAACTATTTTGAACAAAATCAAGCAGAGGCTCTAGATTCACAGAAAACAGTGCTTCAGATAGTCGAAGAAGCAGCTGAAGATTGGAAGCTCAATGACATCAAAGGGTTGCTGGGTAGATGCAACTTCAAAGCCGACATGATGCATCGGAAGGTGGAGTATCTGAGTGGTGGTGAGAAGGCTCGTTTAGCATTGTGCAAGTTTATGGTTACGCCATCCACCCTCCTTGTTCTCGATGAACCCACCAACCACCTGGATATTCCTTCAAAAGAAATGCTTGAAGAGGCCCTAAGGGAGTATAAGGGCACTGTCTTAGCTGTTTCACACGATCGATACTTTCTTCGCCAAATTGTGAACCGTGTGGTGGAGGTCAAAGACAGGAAACTGCAGGATTACGTGGGTGATTACAACTACTACTTGGAGCAGAACTTGGAGGCGAGGCAACAAGAGCTTGATCGGGAGGAAGAGCTCGATGCGAAGTCACCTACTGTGAAGGCCAAGTCCAAGATGACCAAGGCCGAGAAACTTCTACAGAAGAAGCAAAAAGCCACATCGTTCGCTCAGAGCAAATCGAAGGGTAAGGTTGCAAAGAATGCCAAACGATGGAACTAGTATGTTTAATTCATTCTTTACTCGATTGGAGGGAAACGAGAGAAGGGTGGTTGGGGCCATCAAGGCCCGAAACCAACCATTGTAAAACAGATGACCATTGAATCCCGATACGGTTCCAAACGATAGGTGCCGATTGTGGAGTCGACTTTTATTAGTTGCCATACTGTCCCCCTTCATTACATGTACCGTATCAATTTAGACTTTAACGATTGTAGATTAGTCTCAGCAAAAGAAGTAGATATATGTAGCCCCATTATGTACTTTTTTTGCCTTTTGTACAGTTCTTTAAATTCAAACTTCGGGAGTTGGGTGGTGTCTTTGTATCTAGCTCTTTTCTGATTACATTAATTGCTAATTACATGCAAGTCCGTGACGAACTACTGCGAGACTCACTGTGGGGTACTGCATGAGTCTGTTAACATGCTTCTTTTTCTGGTTATTTGCTTCGTATCTTTTAGAGCTCTGCACGATCTACAGTTTTTCACATGGAAATCCACAGTTAGTTATTCGGAGTCAGTTTTATCGTCTATTCCATTTGAGAGAAGAAAGTGTAATATGTCAGTGCATTGAATGTTTTGCGAGGGTGTATCCAGGTTACTTAGTTGAGATTCTCAGCTCTGATGGCAAACGCTCTCCTGACATGATTGCATCGTAGTAACCAAAAGTGAACTACAATGTTTGTGTCACTAGCCTGTAAGAAGCAGTTGTGGATTAGTGTGGTGGTCGAGTGAAGACGGTTAGATTCTTGTGTAGATGAGGGTAAGATCGTTCCTCACATTGGTTATTCAACATTGGCGAGGAGGGGTTACTTTTAAAGACCTGAATATAGACCAATTATCACGATTACGTGCAAAGTTTATTTTTCTTTGACATGGACTCCAAAATATGTGAAGAGCATGCACCGCAACTGTAGAAGGGTAACTACATAACTGCGTCATCTGATCATATTCAGGCACGTATGTGTGTATATCATCACGCAGAGATGTGTCGGTTTACCTATCTTTTAAGTTATTCTTTATGGATAAACTATACGCACCTTAATGCCATCGGACATGAAGCAGCGACATATTTACGGCAAGGAAACTTCTTAATACTCTTCCATTCTGACTTATTTTCACTTCGGAAACAAAACTGAACGAAGCTGATTTTTAAAATACAAATCAGATTACATTGAAGATAACATTCCAACAAAGAGAAAATTTTATACGCTGGTGGTCAAATTCGTCTTTTCCAAGATATACGGCCCAGACTCCACAATAGATTTTTTCAGGTAGAGAATCTCCTTATCATTCACGCAAACACATTGATACCAATTAGCTCACAGCTCATAGCTCACACGGATAATTATCACACTTGTACTTCCATCGAACTTCAAACCTTTAATCGCCTTTAACACCTTGTTCACTTGAGTCATGGAGGTGCACTGCAAGTTTTTACTTCCCAACCCTTTACCGTCTTCAACTGACTTACCTATGCCTCGGCAGGAATATAAAGAGGTTGTACGACGGCACCTTGTTGTTTGGATCATTTGAACTTTGTCTTCAGATAGCTCCATGCACCCTCTTCTTACCAATTATTACATCACAGACAAAACATTACAGTGTACTCTCTACAAGAGCAATTTGCTGTAAGGGATGAAAATTTATTGCAACTTGCCCTTTTACTACAGTCATGTAAATAAACTTTGTAGTTACGTATGCACTTATTGACTTGTAAAGTCTGAAATGATTATTCACAAGGCTAAGATTGATTACACTTCATAAGTGAATACATTCGCCCTGATTGCAATTACAATTGTGTCAGATAAATGGAGAAGTCAACATGATGTACCTGCAATTCCAAAGTCAACTGCAGTTCTACAAGTTATAGATAATTGCGAAATTATTTAGTAGAAACAGCAAGATAACCTAGGAAATGTTGCACTTACAAAGAGTAGACTGTCTGAATCATTGTATTTTTGTATAAAACTCGCTTGAATTGAGTACTCATGTTCTGTTAACAAAGAAACACAATTTGAGGTATTAATGCCATACATTAAACATATTTTTTTTTTAAGAATTTGCAATTATTTCGATGATTGTAATATAAGATATCACATTATTTTTCCTCTGAATGAAAAACATAGCATGCATGTTCAATAGACTGAATCATTTGTCTTTATTATCATGAATCATCTTCACATGATTTTGGAAAATCATACGCTATGTAAATTGAGTCCCTAACACTGTCAGTTTCATACAAATATTCAATTTAATGTCAAGAGAATTAATAGATAGATAAGTGTAGATCACAATTATAGAAGTTTTTTTTCTTAAACAGCCAAGCTTATTTTGGTAGTATTTTTACTTATATTGAGTTTGATTAAAAAATGAGAATCTGCTCATTTATCATGAATGATTTATGTAGTCATATAATCCATGTTTCATTTTTCAGGAAAATGCATTCAGTAATCAAACATGTCTAGTTTGATCATTGAGACGTATCTCTTGCTACCACAAGAGCCATGTTTGAACTTTCTTATGAATATGTCTTTTTCTTGTTTCTTTTCTTACTTGCACTACGTGATAATATATTTTCATACTCTTTTGATATATAATTGTAAATATTAAAATATATCTATAAATATTTTTAAAAAATTACACTGATCTAAATTATATGGTGATAGATATATTCAAGGATATAGCCATATATTTCCTTCATTAAATTGTTAAGAAATCAGTAGAAGGTGACAACAATCATTTTCTTGATAATTCAGTTGATATGAATAATTTTTTTTAAAGTAGAGTACATATTCAGATGTAGTAGTTATGATTCAGATATCATCATTGCATAATACATGTATCTTTATTTAATCTTTTATCAATATTTCAAATATGGTGATGCATGATTAGCAGATTTTTTTTCTTTACAGTAAAAAATCTTTAAAATTACTACATGGTTAATATTTTATTTTATGTATAAAATTTGTAGATATAATTTTATCAAGACTAGCTATTAAACAAATCTGTCCAAAATTATAAGTAAAAATAAATTTATACACGCACATATTCATATTGAAGTCTGTTATCTTAATACCAAGTTTAAATTTCTGTTTAGGTAATTGAACGAAATTATGAATATTCATTACCAAAAAGATTCCGCACGTTTTATGTAGTTTTCAGCCAGATTTGGACCAGAAATCGAAGTTTATTCACAAGAATTCAAAATTGAGATTGTAGATCAAAGACAAACAGACGTGGGTGGTACGTCGCTAATCTGGTTTACCTTCAGGTATGAGTTGATCTTGAGTAGCGTTTCAGAATGAAATTCTTCACAAGGAAACCGTGGTCATGATTTTGACATGTTCGGTGGTTGATATGGACAGCTCTGTTCATGACCGTCTAAAGCCGCATGTCAACTTCGAGAAACAAGAAATGAACATGCCAATTGTCCTGAGCAAGTGAGTGGTTGCTCTACCACCTCATGTGTCCAAATCAGAGCACCTTTCGACATGCGATCAAATTTAGAAACGGTGCGTTCCAATGATACGAATGTTGTACCCTCCTTGAAGTCCGAGGTTTTTCCCCTGGACCGGCCGGTGTTGAAATTCATTTTGGAGCTTTGATTATTTTCCAGGACGGTAGTGCCGAAAGAATCCTCCATGTACAGTACAGTACAATACATGTACTCGAACATGACAAGCCAATGGCCAAAGGCGCCTTCTACGGCCGGTTTCCAGGGTAAAACCACTCGACTGCATATGTGCCGGAAAAGTCCTCCCCGCAATCGGGACAAAGCTGATATGAAATCGGTCGTGCGAACCGGGCCTACTGTATGTAGCGATGATATTTGATACGTCCGCAGTTCAGACGGACAGCGTATACCTCTAGAGGCCCGGCTCGGCACGACTGCGGCCACTCTGACGTCCGAGGCCCGCACTCCGTGAGCAGTGGAGGATGGGGACATTTTGGGTCCATCCGCTTCCTCCAGTTCGTCCGGTTAGCCGGGACGGGGGGCAGCCGCGCAGGGACCCGGGACCGGGCAGAGAAGGGGGCCGCGTGGAGGCCCCTGATTGGGCTGAGGGTACTCAGCTGGTTGACGTATTACCTTCCGTCGCCGAGGGGGCCAGGTCGCGATGGCCTGGGGAGGGAGAGTATAAAAGACGAGCAGAGCCAGAAGGGATTCAGATCGAGATCAGTTCGTCTGCAAGCAATGCCCCGAGAAGAGGAGCGCGCCGCGAACACGTTTTGGATCTCTTGCTCTTCTTTACTTCTCTTGGTCTGAGGACTGTCGGCATTTCGCGTAAATGACTCGTCCTCGCCCCCTCGTACTGGCACCGAGGGGCTGGCATGGCGGATTCGTGCTGCAACGATCGTCGTCCGGGACCGGGTCGCGAGTGGGCTCGGCGTAGCAGGTTGCGCATGTGCGCTGCGAGACAGTTGGGTGGCATGAGTACCTTCCCCCAGCAGTTGGGAAGTATTTGTTGCTAGAATTGTAGACTACTGCCGCAGCTGCTGCCGGCCGAGGGCGGTTCCTCGAGCGGAAAAAGAAACATGAGCGCCACCACAGGTGCAATGGTGGAAGAGTCGGGAAACTCTTGGCAGACTTTGTGGGGTGTGAAGGATTTTTGCGCTTCGTCGCCGTCGCCTGCGCTGGGTCCGCTTTGTGAGAGGATGCGTGTGCCGTTCTGGCTGCAAGGGCGGATGAGCTTCTCTAAACGGTGCGCGATGGAACTTATGTGAACCAGCTGATCGAGAATAAGAGGTTTTCCTGGCCGGAGATCAATGAGATTAAAGCATGGACAGGATGTTGTTGGACCTGAATTTGCCTCCTCCTCCTTGCTGGTCCCCTCAAGCTTTACACATTCTTTCTCCATCTTCCGATAAACGGCCTCCTTCGCCCGAAAGTGTAGCGCCAAACAACAATGCAGATAATAGTCAAGCACAGGGGGAATTTGTGGTAGCAACTGTAGATCCGCCAGGGCCCCAAATTGAAGATGCCAACGACAGCTCTTTAGACGCCGAGCCTTCATGTGTTATCCAATCTTCTCTTAAACCTCAAGATTCAGAAGCTCTTCCTGACTTCAATGATATCGGTCTGGAGGTCAGTAAGTCAAGCAGCACTGTCGCGAGGAAAGAGGGACAGCACTTATCTGGAAATCGCGGTTGTGATTCTATTGCTACAGAGGACAGTGGAAATGGAATTTTTCTCACGTCTCCATCTTCGGGGAACAGCGTTATTGAGTCTGAAATCAAACCCGAACGACTTAGATCCGTCAGTGTTGAAGCAAATGGCTCGAACCCTAACCAGGAAGGTACTGCTGAGCCGGGAGGACCTATCAAAGTACATAAACGATTGAGGACTCTCGGTCAACTTAGAAGCAGGAAAGAGGAAAAAAACGTCGCCAACCCGTCTCTTGAAGATTCGAACCTCGAGGATGAAATCGCAGGCGAACCGGGAGGCAAAGGTTTACATGGGGTGGAAGACGGCCTAGTGAGCTCAAGAGCAGGAAGATTCGTTGGTCAGCTACGGAACATTAGAGGGGAGAAAAATGCCTTGGCTTTAGGGAAACGAGAGAGCTCGGAGACGAAGAAGGAAGTCTTGACTGTGGATGGTGGCCCGAAGACAGAGGGCGGAGCTGGCAAATCCGGTAAGGTAGATGCTTCACTGGCAGGTAGGTTTCTTCCAAGAATTCCGAGTCAACCTAGGAGTCGAAAGTCCGAGAAGCGAACGTCTTTAGCCTATCCAACTGCTGCTTCAATTGTGAAATCTGATGATAGAGCAATGAAGACGGAACCCTTAGAGCTGGGCAAGTCGGGACCAGAGACCAAGGGATTATTATTTCCGATCCCTGTAAAGTATGAAGACATTGCCGTGCCAGCAGAGTTAGTTAAGGCCGAAGAAGTGAAAGAGTCTACAGCCGTTGCTGCGGAGAATGTACCTGCTACGACCTCAACGCTGAAAAGACCTGGAGGAGGCAGCAAAGATGCCTTGCCTGGGAAGAAGCGCAGACAGGTTGTGGTGCTCGAAGTTGATGAGTCCTTGAAACAAGCGCGTCCCTTACGGACTCCTACAGGAGAAGGGACACTTGGACGCAATTCACGATTTCGTCGGGAAAGCCCTCGACCTCTTCCGGTACAGGTGCCAGAGAAACAGGACATAAATTGCGGTGACGGTGCGGTTAGTGTTGGTCAAGCCGAAACGTCTCGCAGATTTGAAGAATTGTCCGAAGAGTCTTCCCAGACGGAAAAGAGTTTGAGGACAGTAGCAGGTGACGGTTCTTCTGTCAATTTCCGAAGGCCAGGTTTGAAAAGGCTGTCCTCCTCAAATTATTCCCGCGATGATGCAGGGGGGAAAGTTCTTGCAACCAATCAAGAATCGACTGCAGCTAAGGGTTCTGATGCCGATGGCACGAAGAGCATTATCAGCCCACCTGACAGCATAGTGTTGCAGAAACCACGCAGGTTTTCGAGGAAAACAGAAGCGAATAAGCCCGTTGCTGTTCAAGATGCTTCCATCGAGCGTCTTCATCGCGAGGCCACGAGTAGCAAGCTGTGGCAGACCTCTGGTTTGTTCTTCGCTTCTGTCCTTGCATTCCCCTACATCTCATCACATTCGGTGTGCGAGTCGTGTGCTGTCATGTCCTCCTCTTTAGTTAAGTGAAATTCTTGTCTGGCTCCTCAAGTAGAAATTTGTAAAGCTATTAATATCTTGTATATCCTGGAGTTGATCAAGTAATATTTGAACGATGCGACAGCTAGTGCAAAATTACGTACTACAGCAGAACCGTTATTCGTTAAACGTCATTAGTGACCTTGCCCACAGTGAAACTCTAGAGGCTCAAATCTCTCTTGTAGCTTCAGTTCACGCACTGATGTATCTGTAGTTCGCGCCTCGTAGCGAAAGTCATTTTATTGCAGTTGAGCACACATCTGCAATGTAGAAATTATTGTAGATAAGTGTTATGGTCAAGGATCTCAGTCCTAAGGCATGACAAGAGGTATGAGTTGGTCTTGTGGTAAACACAATGAGGTGAGAGGACCTGATGGGGGGCCTTTCGGGCACTCGGTGCGCAGGTTTGTATATGGTGCTTTGCTGTTAATCACATGTGCATGTTTGGTGGGCGGCCACCCTATTTCAGTGGCTGTGCCTCTTTATGGCAGTTCAGAGGCTGAATGACAAGGTCGTCCATGCACACATTCGGGCTCAGCCAACTAACGAAGCGAGCAAGGCAAGGCACCATGTGCTCATATTTGGTCTTGCTAAGTGACATAGCAAGCATGCCTGCATTATCTGCATCTACTTGCTTTACTGCCTATCTCTGCTGGTCAAATTATCGGAGCTGTACTCTCTGGGTCTGAGCGGAATGATGTTGAGAACGAAGAGCGCCATGTTGCCTCACTCTGATTGCTTTTCCTGGATAAAAGGTCATCAATGTCATGAGGGAAAACAGCCCAGTCTGACGGATTGTAGAGTATATCAACAGCCTTAGACCTCTTTTAAACTGAATTTCTTGTACCCTTTACTAAAGGTAGCAGTTCGTTGAGGTGATGCAGGTACTTCCGATTTGCAGCAAGTGCCGGGTAATTTTGAATCCGTTGAGGATTATACGCGTGTGTTTGAACCATTGTTGTTTGAAGAGTGCCGGGCTCAGCTTCATAGTTCGTGGGAGGAGCTTCTGGAGGGAAGTGTCAAAGATGCTCACCTTCCTGTCTCCATCAAAGGTGTAGAGAGGCGTGATAGAGGTATTATGGCGCTTACTTTAATGCAGAAATAGAGAGTCGCTCACTTTTAAACCTGCCTTTAGTGCATTCACTTCTAAGGGAATGTTATGGGGTTTACAGGTTCCTTCCTTTACAGATTCCACCTTGACATTCTAGGCGATGGGTTTGTATCTGACTTTGTCAAATTGTCTTGATGGATCAAGATCCAACGAGAGAGAGGACCGACAATGCCATGTGGAGCTAGAACATCATCAGATCTCCCACTTCCCGGTCTTGCTTTGAGTGTCGATAAATTTCTAGTTTTACAAAATTTTTGCAAATTAGTCAATATACACATCAGCTGATTAACAACTTTCTTCTTAAAATGACGTGCAAGTTTAGGATTTCGGTTTTTGCTGGTGTGGATGAGATACTTTTTTTTTAAAGATCGCACCAACTATATGTTACGTAGGCACTAACGATCTTTTAAACTTTCTGTTCCTGCTTGTAGGATGGTTTGATGTCGTCGTTTTGCCGGAGGATTCCCACTCAAAACTCAAATTCAAAGAGGGAGATGTGGCTGTAATTTCTACTCCGAAGCCAGGATCTGGTGAGGAGTTTTTGACATTGTTATATCTCTTACTATAAGCATCGTGCATGTACACGCACAAAGTTCACTTTCTAGTTTTTTCCAGTTTCCTTCCATCACTTTTTAAACATCTTGGGAATTTCTCTACGTGTTGTGAATCCTAATTTTCTGAATATCACAAAGGAGTAGCAAACTGACTCAAGTGTTCTGGTAAATCAGCGGGAAGGCAGAAGGGTCGAGCAAAAGGTCATTCTTTCAAGGATAAGGAGGATGGTGTCGTTGCAGGCCGCATAACCGGTATTGTTCGGCGTTATTACCCAATAGATCTTCGAGATCCTCCTGGCGCAGTACTCCATTTTCACGTCTCACAGGATGATGCGGACGAAGTCAGGTTGGTTTGCTCTCATATGGCAGTTTTTCATTGTTCTCTACATAGTTGGTTCCGAGTTTTCCTTACATGCACTGGCCTTACTGTCCTGGTTCATGAATAATAGGGGTAAGAGTTTGTCGTATTCCTCCTTATGAAACATATGGAAAATGTACCAATGTTTTTCGGGTAGATCTCTAACTCGGACGATCCTCCTCCCTCTCAATTAGTTCTCCATGTGCTTCGCTAGGCCGGGGGCGGTCTCTTCTGGCTATGATAACAGGTTGAAATAGTACATTTACATGTTTGATTTTATCATTTAATTTTGTTGTATTTGCCTGCTTGCGCTGCAATATTCCTGTAGTTTATTCTTTTCTGAACCCGCAACTCACGTGTTTAATAGTCTCAGTACTCATTTGTAGGTTTCTGTTCTTTTTACTTCATGAATGCTTGTCTTTTGCATCCGTCGATGGCTTTTATTGGTCGCTATTCCGCGTTTCCGGCCTGTTTTAGAGTGATTCACCGTTTGTATGCGCCATTATATGTGTCAGATAGAGTCTATACTGTTGTACCTCCTGCGTATGTTCTTTTCAGTCTCCTTGCTTGTTAAGCCCTTGCGGTTGATCACATGTAACTTCTATTGATATATATATATATATATATACTGTACTCGAGGCTTATCGTTTGGCGATACCACCAATCGGGTTTGGATTTTCTCGTCGGTCTAAATTACCCACGAATTTTGTTTCAAAAGTTTTACAAGTTGTTGCTTCTCCCTAGCAGTTGTTAGTGAACTGCGACATAGAAAGTACACTTGAACCTTAGGGAGATATACGCTATGCATTCTAGATTGTATCTCAGGGCCCTCTTCCATTTTTGTTGAGTTTTCGATTTCCTAGTTTGAGGTTTTGAAAGCTCCCTTCGGCTTTTCTGATCTGCCGTCTTCTTTTCTGCTGAGCAGTGGCGCAGATCTCTCAACGGTGAACGCCAACGTGATGAAAGAACTCAGTCGTCCAGGATTGACCTGGTTTTTGACAGTACTGGGATCTGTTACAACAACTCAACGTGAATACGTAGCCCTCCACTTTCTTCAGCAATTTCATCCAAAGGTTTGTTTCCTTAGCGTATTTATCCGTCGTCCACTTCAAAAAAATTGTTGTCACTTTAGAGTCGCGAAGCCAGGATGCGGGTTCTATTTTTTTCAGGTTACTAGTTGCAACTTAGTACCTCAAAGTGCTAACAACAAAGTGCCAACAAGTGATGCCACTCCGGCAGACGCCACAGTGGCATTTTCAAATCATATATAGGGTGGGAGATGGACTAGTGGACTTTCACCTGGAGATGGATACACGCTTTATCCTCCAATTGTCGCGAGCTGGAGATTTTCAAGATAGTTGTTTCTGTTGTGTATACCTTGTAACCTTTGAGTGTCAAATGAAATATCTTCAGGACTCTCACTTTGGAAAACTGGGATTATGATTGTTTTATGCAGATGCTGAATGCCATCCTGCAACCCCGTCCAGAGTTGTTTCCGGGGTATGCCGACCAAGAACCTCCAGCGATGCCTGAATGCTTCACACCAGCGTTTGTAGATCATCTTCATGGGCATTTTAATGGTCCCCAACTTGCAGCCATTCAGTGGGCTGGTGCCCACACAGCTGCTGGAAGTGGCAGTGCTTCAATAATTGGAGCTCCAAAACAAGAACCTTGGCCTTTTACTTTGGTCCAAGGGCCTCCTGGAACCGGAAAGACGCACACAGTTTGGGGTATGCTGAATGTCATCCACCTAGTACAATATCAACGATATTATCAAGCTCTTTTAAAGAAACTTGCTCCTAACAGTCTGGCATCTGAAGAACCTACTACCAGCTCCCATGGAAATTTTGAAAACGGCTCCATTGACGATGTGTTACAGAGGATGGATGATAGCCTGGCTAGGATGCTTCCAAAGCTATGTCCTAAACCTCGGATGCTGGTTTGTGCTCCTTCCAATGCTGCCACGGATGAACTGCTGTCTCGCGTCCTTGATCGTGGTTTCATTGATGGCGAGATGAAAGTCTACCGTCCTGACGTTGCACGAGTGGGTTCCGATCCACACTCGCGGGCTGCTCAGGCAGTATCTGTCGAAAGAAGATCTGAACAACTGCTTGTGATGGGGCGTGATCAAATTGTGGGCTGGCTTCAGCAGTTGAAGGTAAAGGAAATGAGCTGCTCGCAAATCATTACAGGTCTTCAGCGGGATTTGAACGAAGTCGCCACAGCTGCTCGGACGCAAGGTAATCTTGGTGTCGATCCTGACAAACTAGCAGCCCGAGACCATTTACGTGATTCTAAGTTACAGCAACTGGCAGCTCTGGTGGAAGAACGGGATAAGATTCTTGTCGAAATGTCCCGCCTTTTTATAGTGGAAGGTCGGTTCCGGCCTGGAAGCGGATTCTCTCCTGACGATGCTCGGCAGAAGTTGGAGGCTAGTTTCGCAAATGAGGCAGAGATTGTGTTTACAACCGTTTCCTCTAGTGGTCGTCGGATCTTTACCAAGCTGGCTCATGGCTTTGATATGGTGGTTATTGATGAAGCTGCTCAAGCAAGCGAAGTAGCTGTTTTACCACCTCTCAGTTTGAGAGCCGCACGATGTGTTCTGGTTGGGGATCCGCAGCAGCTTCCAGCCACGGTTATCAGCCGAGTAGCGGATACCATGCAGTATAGCAGAAGTCTCTTTGAGCGGTTTCAGCAGGCAGGATGTCCTGCCATTCTTTTGTCTGTTCAGTATCGAATGCACCCTCAAATACGTGACTTTCCGTCTCGGTATTTCTATCAAGGCCGTCTTGTGGACAGCGAAAGCGTGAAAAGTCGACCTGACGAGGTCTACCATAAGGATGTTCTTTTGCAGCCGTACCTTTTCTATGACATCTCTCATGGGCGCGAGTCACATGGTGGTTCTGTTTCTTATCAAAACAAACTGGAGGCGCAAGTTGCTGTGCGGCTTTATATGCATCTCCAAGAAGTTGTTGCTGCGGGAGGTATTCCGAGCGTCTCGGTCGGAATGATTACTCCTTACAAGCAGCAGTTGCGATGCCTTCAGTCGGAGTTTGAAGCAGCCGTTGGTGCTAATGCTGAATCTAAAGGCGTTTACATCAACACAGTGGATGCCTTTCAAGGTCAGGAGCGTGATGTGATTATGATGTCGTGTGTGCGAGCATCGACCCATGGTGTGGGTTTTGTAGCCGACATACGACGAATGAATGTTGCTCTTACTCGAGCCCGCAGGTCCCTTTGGGTATGTTTTTCTCGAACTTCGTGGTGCATTAAATTTTTCACACCAATCCTTCTGGCGGTAGGTTTTGGCCATATAGGGTCGGTAAAGTACATCTTTTGCTTGTTGCTATTTTACTTCGAGAGGAAGTCAGCAATGACATTGTGTGCAGTCCAACTTTTCTGCTTCTTGGCATTACGAGATCTGGTCAAATGACCTTTCAGATGTAATTTTGTAGCATCTGTGTGGATACGTGGAATCTTCAAAGTTGAACTTCGCTGGTTCTCTTCGTGCATAATGATTGTATATGAGTGATAGAAGATTCTAGGTGTTAAGTGCACAGATGGAAATTCTCTATTGGGTGTCGGAAGCTAACATCTCCGAGGTTTTAATGGTCAATCTTTTTTAAATTTAGCTATAATTACAGCAATTTAGCTTTTTTCATCTTACTTCTTCCTTGGTGATGCCTCCTGCTCTTGCGGCGCGGATTAGACCTGGAAGTGATCAGTCTGCTTATACACACTTCTAGAAGTATGAGGCTACTGCCGGTGAAGCTGAAACTATTTTTGCCTAATATGCAGGTCATAGGTAACGCTACAGCCTTACTGCAGTCTGAGGACTGGGCAGCACTTCTGGCAGATGCAAAAACCCGCGGGTGTTTTGTGGAAACAGGGACATCCATATCAAGGGGTCTTCTGGCTGAACCTTCTGGAGTGTTGACAGCACCCCAGGCGGGCCTGTTAAGGCATACGCCCTCGCCGCACCCTAGTTCACAGTTTAGTATGGGTAATTTCAGTCACGGCGGTTTTGGACGGGGAAGGCATAACGAAGATGGAAACCTGCACGGAAGTGAGTCGGAGCAGAGAGGATTGTGGCAAGGTTCTGGACATCGTGGAGGTAGAGTAAATCGGGATTCATCAAGGGGGGGGTTTAGCCAAAGAGGATTACCTCCGAGTAGGTCTTACGGGAGGGGAAACAACTTGTCATATAGAAGGGGCAAAGGGTTGTGAGTTAAAAGGAGGAAAGAAGTATCTGCGACACCTAGATTGTTAGGCAAAATTCTTGTAGAGCAACAAGCTTTACTTCATCAGTTGGGGCGATTTATAGAGATCAACGATTGGGGGTGCGGCTCCCCTTTTGCACACAGAAACTTACTAGGTTTCCTGCTTAGTACCTGGCTTACTGAATGCCGCTGATGGTGTTGAAACGTCAAACCGATTTTTTGTAGGTGATACAACAATCACAATAAGCATTTCTGTAACAGCCATAGGTTCCGGGCTTGCTAGGGTAGAAGAGATTATTTTAGCACTTCCATGAGAACCGTGGAAGGACGAGGGTTCTGTCAACAGTGCGGTGGAGTTTGACACTTATTTTACCATCCATATAGGTAAGATTTGCCGCTTTCACTGGACTTGTGACCCATCCGCACAGATCTACACCATCGCCACTTAAATCCATGCCCTTCCAGAGACGCAAAACTGGTCGACTCTTGAAATTGTAACATTCTTACCTTCCAAGGACTGGGGAGAAGTGAGGTTTAGGAACTAAATCAGCTACCATTTGTAGCATACTGCTTAGGCCATCATCATCCTCTTGTATATTTGTTGATTATTCCCATCTTGTGGATTATCAAAGGCCTCGGAAGAGGAGATAATTTATGTCACGGAAATTTGTATCGGTGACTTGTAATATATTGTTCAACTACTTTTCATGCCTTCTACCTAGTTTCAAATCTCACAGCCGTGCATCACTGAAATAGGAAGGTGTGATGCTCTTGATGTCTCCCGTTTGTCTTTAGTCAAAGTTGTATCGTTTGGCATGGTCGCTGCTTGCTGTCATTGCGAATGCGTTTTGCGTAACAAGGTGATGGTATATTGGAACTCGGTGTTAGATTATTCTTTGTAGCTTTTTCACTGAGGGATTTACTGCATGCATTGGTTTGCTCCTCTTGGAACATAGTTACCTCCTCTGATCAATTTCCGTGATTGTTCATTCGTCAGATCTGGAAACATCTGCGTCACATAAAACCACTAATTACTCTTTTCAACGGAATCTTAAACTGGGACGTCCAGCCACCGTCTCGCCTCACCTTCGCGGCAACGAAGACTGAAGATATGCGTGGAACATAATCTGGATCTTAGAAACCATTCGAGGAAACGAAGGAGATACGCCGACATATGCCCAAACATAGCTGAATCCAATAACCGGCGACCCGACAGGGGTTTTCCACCTCGACGTGATAGTGGGCGGAAAGGCAATTTCAACACTGTAAGGTAGAAGTGTCATTCTTGGTTCTCTTTTAAAAGCTTACATTGTTTGTGAGGGATGAGAAGCCCGTAGGTCTATGTTCAAATTCGCAAGCTCTGGCAGACAAGATGCACTTTCCCATGACACGACGAAGATCCGTCGTTGGAGGTATTCAACTTGCTGAAGAGTAGATGTGGAGTCATGGTATCGAACGATTTTTTCTTTTCTAACGGAATATAGGTTAGGCGGTGATCAAACTCTTTGAGTCAGACCCAGAAGTATCTCCCTGTTATGGATGCGTTCGATGCGTTCGAAATGGAATTGCAGAATTTTGAACGTTTCCATACGTTTAAGACTTCTTAAATACAGTATTTAACTTCTTAAATACACTATTTAAGACGTTTAGGGCGGAGTAGTCGTGTAGAATCGGAAAACTTTGGAGCACTTACATCGTCCGCTAGTTATTCTTTTGCTCACTCATATATTGCTTGGTTGGAAAGCTGTTTCTAACCAAGTATTGCTGTTACTCATCTACGTTACCATGATGATTGACCCGACATTCATGAGATTAATTCATATTACAAAAGCAGCCATTTTGGTCTTACACCGAGATGATTTGAAGCATCAAAATATTTTCTAATCCTAGCATTCCTTACAAGATCGAAAATGTGCATAATGTCTTGAGTTTACTAATCTGAATAATCACTTGATATTATCATACAAGTCAGCTCAACTCTATAATAACCTTTTGCTCACTAATATATTGCTTGGTTGGAAAGCTGTTTCTAACCAAGTATTGCTGTTACTCATCTACGTTACCATGATGATTGACCCGGCATTCATGAGATTAATTCATATTACACAAGCAGCATTTTGGTCTTACACCGAGATGATTTGAAGCATCAAGCTGATTTCTAATCCTAGCATTCCTTACAAGATCGAAAATGTGCATAATGTCTTGAGTTCACTAATCTGAATAGTCACTTGATATTTTCATACAAGTCAGCTCAACTCTATACTAACCTTACACTCACTGCAATCATTTGTACCACTAGAAATTTTCAAAAGTGGAAGGAACTATCTCCACTTGGTGAAAGAAAAGTTCAACCTGCAAGATTTGAACCGGAGTCAGCACCAACTCTTATCTTTACGTACAACTCATGTAGGATGTACTAATGTACATAAAGTTCGCCGGTCTACAAATAAAAGACGTCTTAAATAAAAATTATCTTTATTTCAAACGTTTTAAATATGTCTGTATTTTTTGTAATAAAAAACGGACGCATCCCTACTTAAAGCACAACAAGATCAAGGATGGCTATATATATTTTATATGAATAAGGTATGAGTTCATAAACTGAGTATAAAAAATGAAATTAATATCTTAGATAATAAGAAGAATTAAAATATGAAATATATATATATAATAAATACTTTATAAATTTTTTATTATTATATTCATGACTTTAATTTTATGGAACCTTTTTTTTAAGACACATTTTATATCTTTGTCATTTTGATTCTATTTTGCAACATAAATAAGAGATTATTATTTTGGTTTTTTATTGTACATGATTTTTTGGTAAAAATATTATGCATGTTCCAATAGTTATAATGCACATTGATTGCTTATATTACTTGTAGATTACAACATATAAAGATATCTAGTTACTTAAAAATTGATGAAATATGAAAATTGAAAGATATTTAATATGGGCTGACTCAAACATTGATAAAAAAAAAAGTGAAGAAATTTTTTTTTACTGTGCATCTTCCGGAGTCGGGGCGTTATACTGATTTTTTTATATATATAAATCTAAATTTTGCAATGTCGATTTATCAATGCATGTGTATTTAAAACAGTATTTTTGTATTTCTATAACTTCATCATCACATGACAGTAAACAATGATAGCAAGATCTGAGATAAGATAATGAATGATACAAGGAATTTATACATTGAAATATCGAATTCAAAATTAAAAATACATGCTTTCCACAAAATGAATCTAATTTTTGATAACATGAAAACAATAGATACATAGCAAAATTTACCAATAGATTGATTTTTTCATAACCATCGGTTAGCTATCGAGTCTAATTTTTTGTTAGTTGATGTTGACTTTTCATAACATTGACACAATTGTTTAGTTGAATTTAAAATTTAAACTGGATTTCATTTAGAAAAATTAAAGATGTTCAACTGGATTCATGTTCATTACATCTAGTGAATATCTTCAACTTATAGATTAGCTATCGAATTTGATCTGAGATAATTCAAAGAAACTTGAAGATAGTATTTTCCTTGATTTTAGTTTACTTTGACACATCCTGATGAGATGAACTTTTAAACAAGAAATTTTGAAAAAAAATTGAAGCTTTTGTGCTTTGTTTGTATTTATTGGGTAAATATTTCTGAATAGAATATTATCATTATAAGTTGTCATCAAATAACTTATCAGATCAAATTTTGGTGAAGTAAAGACGTTAAAATATAATAAATACACTTCTGAACTCGGTTAGATGTACGCTCAAATCTTTGAATTATTTGAGAGTGACTTGAATGGATAACATAGTGTAATTTACTCTTTGGTGATTCCAAGCAGCAGGGTTGATCCAATCATCGCAACTTTCCTATGAGAATAAATGAAAAGGGCAAAAACACTCAATGGCCCCAAAGACACTTTGGTCAGGGTTGTCAAAAGTAGTGGACTAAGAAGAGGACGAGGGATCTGGCCATCAATTATTCCCTCATGTGCAAGGAAGGATTAAGAAAGTCAAAAGGCAGATTCAGAAGGTGTGAAGGTCACTCACATGTGCATACGTCAAGTCGTGAACATGGCATGTGCAACGTATCCATTACCTTCCCGTAAGAGCAACGAGCAAGCTAAACTGGCAGCTCTGCAGAGGAGTGAAGGAGGGAGGGAGAGAGGGAGGCCGGTACCACGCCAAAACCCAACGACCGGCGACCGGGAGCCGACGGTAACGACGACGGGATACTGGCTGGAAGGATGTCAGGGTTCCGCCGCAGTCTGGAGCCCAGTCCAAGGCAGGAGGGAATCTTGTGCTCCGGATGAGAGATTCTTCTCCATAATATATACACGCTCGCACGCGGGGCGATGGGTTTTGAACAATGCGCGCTAACGTTGCAGGACAGAGGGTGGGGCATCGGTAGAAGAAGCTTCGAGCGTCGGTCGCGGAGGTCATCGGGAGAGGAACGAGGCGAGCGTTCAGTTCCTCCGGGAGCCTATCAGGGTCGAGGAAAATGGCGAGTGCCAGTGCTGCGGGTAATTTGGATCGCGGCGAGAATCTTCGTTCGAATTGGCATGTTGCGGGAGTCTGCGGGGCGGACCGAGATGGGCAGATATTCCGCAAATGCAGCCGGTTGCCACACGTCTGTGCACGAGTTTTGGCATGCAAGGGAGGAGGTGGTGGATGAAGTCTGCCGGTGGAGCAGCGCAGGCAGGAGGCATAAAGTGGCGCGAGTGGCAGTCCCGAGAAAATTCGAGTGGATTGGGTTTGACGTAGCACTGTTTGGTGGTCGTCTTCGCATGTGCTTAAAATATATATCCTAGTGCGGCGACGTGCAGAATCCATCCAACGATCAGAGTTCTGAGTTTTCTTGCTAGTGCTTGTTTCTTCGTTGCTGGCGACGTCTCGAAGGCATAAATACGAGTGATGACGCTCCCGATTTTCGCAGTTCGAATTTGATTTTTATCGGGATGGCTAGAGGCTCGACGTGAGAAATTCATTACGCCTTCGATTGACTGTCTATGTTGACAGTCGTAATATTTTGCACAGGATCCAGCGGAGATTGAGAGCTCCGAGAAATGGAGGCTTCTATTCTTCTCTCTCTGCTGTTGGGTGCAGTTTTGCTGCTCAGTCTTTCCGTTTTCGTGCATCGTCAGAAGTCGATTTTCGGGGACCCTCGAATACCCAAGGGATCCGACGGATGGCCTCTGGTGGGAGAAACTCTAGCTTTTGGAAATGTCGATCCCATGAAATTTGCTCTCCCTCGAATCAAAAAGTACAGCTCTTGCCGAGCCTCAGCTGCTTTCTGTTTGTTTATCTAAATATGAATATTCTTCTGTGAATTTTCTCCAGTTATAAGGTGTACTTTCCCGCTGCGGGGCAGTTGACTCCGGGAACGAGGCTCATGCCTCAGGCTAACATATATTGTGACAATATTTTCATAACACTGAGCGATATTTTATAAACATCACAACCCACTTGATTTTGATCATGGTGCGTAATTGCCCAGGTTTGGACGTGTTTTCAAGTCACACTTGCTAGGAACGCCATCGATCATGGTGGCTACTCCAGAAATGGCAAAATTTGTGTACGGAGAGAGAAATCTCTTCAGAGCAAGTTATCCGAGGACCATTACTACTCTCATTGGAAAGGGATTCTTGTCCAGCTGTGATCCTCATCGCCATCCATTTCTGAAGAAAGTGATACAGAGTGTTCTGCTTCCGGACACTTTGCGCCACGAAGTTGGACGCATTGAAGGTTATATTAACGGGGGTCTGGATTCTTGGGATGGTAAGCCCATTCTAGCAGCGAAAGAATTCAAAGAGGTTAGTTTTGTCATGACCCTTCTTAAGCCTTTTCTCTGAACAGCGTTACCATCTTTTCGATTGGTTTGGGTTCTTTCTTTTTTGGGAGACCATAGAGCTTACATTCTGATCTTTCGCTGTTGGGAAAGGTCCTTGAGCCTGACATGGAGAATGCATGTTCTTTTGTTGAGAGCGAGGAATGCAGAGATTGAGAACTCTTCTGACTTCAGAGCTGACTCGATCGACTGTTGTGCAGCTTACCTTGAACATTGCGGTATATTTCATCTTTGGGCTCACAGATCTTCGCGGAACTGCTGAGGCCCAAGTTCTTATTGATATGTATCGAGCACTATCCAGTGCCATGTATGTCATGCCAATAAATCTTCCAGGTTTCCATTGGTACAAAAGTCTGCAGGTGATTATATACCAGTTCATCATTTGCTAATTGGGTTGTTCATTTGTAATTTCATTTATTCAGTCGATCAAACTAATGCGCGTGGCTGTGATGTCAGGCTCGAAAAGTAGGATGTGATTACTTGAAGAGATTGATTTTGGAAAGAAGGAGGGAAGCGGACCAAGGTGTGAAGCAGAATACAGTGTTGGGAGCACTTGTGGGATGCACTGACGAGAAGGGAGAAAAATTGCGTGATGATGAAATTATAGATCTCCTTCTTGGTACGTTATTCGGAGCACATGATACAACTGCAACAACTATAACCTGGATCGTCAAACATCTATCAGAGCATCATGATGTTTTGCAAGCCGTCGTGGTAGGTGCCAGTCTCCTCAAGGCTTTATCCATTTCAAATGTTGTATATTTTGTTGAAGCCATCGAATCGTAGCGGGAAAGGACCGCGGGTACCGTGGTTGAGATTATACGCCGTGTGCTTTCCGATTTTTCCATTACTTGTGAAATTATCATTTTCACCGCAGCATCCAACCTCAGAAATCACCTTCATCATGATCTCTCCTGCCTTTGGCTGTGTATCTCGTGTTTTCATGAGCATGACGAAATTATTTTGATTGTGCTCTGTCAATTGTGCAGGCTGAACAAGAAGAAATCAGGAAATCCAAAGCACCGGGAGACCCTTTGACTTGGGAGGATACTCGACGGATGCAGTATTCCTTACAAGTGGGTAATTTTGCGAGAAAATCGAAGAAGATTAGCATACATATCAAGTTGATCCTCCACAGTTTCATATTGGAGATGTTTATCTCAATCAGTATGCTACTAGAATCACTTTTTCCACCTAATACCTGCAGACATTTTGGCTTCTCTGATTTTATGGAACGTTGTAAGTTGGCTTGTTGCCGGTCCTTTTGTTTTGTGTCCTTTTGTCGTGAAAGCATCAGGTGTGAACGATACATATGAAATAACGATTTGCTCTCGTTATCTCCTTATGAATGTGCTTCTGTCCAGATTAGCCCACATTTTGTTTAGAGCACATTCTTTTGCACAACTTTTTGTCTTGAGAACGCTTGTATTGCCCTTGATGGCAGATAATATCACAGAGAAACGCATGGCACATACTTAACCAGCAGGGTGCACTTAGCGTTGCATAGCCAGGATGCACTATCTTGAGCTCTACCTGGAATTCATTGAATTCTAGCTGGTCTTGGAGATCAAGCGGAAGTTTTGTTTCAAAATCATTAGCTTCAAGTTCAAAACCTAGAGCTACTGCTTTGACGTCCACTTGGACTGGTCTTTGGCCAATTCACAAAAGCATTGTCTGAAGTGACATCTTTAAGTTTTCTTCGAAAGCCATCTCTGTTTCTAGCAGCACCCTGCATCTAGTGCGGAGGGTCGATGGTCAAGATTCGGTCCTCTATGTATAAATGTCTCATATCCTATTGCTTTATGATTAGGATACACTAGTTGCGGGTGCAAGCTTGGTATAATATTACAGTTGTCGGTTGACTTGGAACTTGGTGCTTCAGAGGTATTACTCTTCTACATCCAATCGCGTGTGGGCTGTGTTAATTTGCTGATGATTTGGAAGATCGCCTAAACTGCTTGGCAATATCTTACATGATACAGGTCATCCAAGAAACACTCCGATTGCCAACAGTTTTGCAGTTTACTGGACGCGAAGCACTTGAGGACATAGAATTCAAAGGCAAGTCTTTTTTTTTGCGCTGATTTTTTTCTGCTATGTGCTCATCTCCCAAGGGAAATATGTCAAAGTTTCTACCACAATTGCAGTGAATGCAGTGTATGTGTAGCTCTTTCAGTAAATCGACTATGCGCCACTGAACCCTCATCTGATATACATTGCAGGTGTTCTGATACCCAAAGGTTGGAGAGTCTTTCTAATGACAACGTGCATACATCTGGATGCCGAAAATTTTCCAAATCCTCTTGCTTTTGATCCTTCCCGATTCCAGGTAATGAAAGTCGATTCCTACATTCTGTGAATATATCTTTGAAGAAATTCCCTCCTATAAACCCATTCCTTGTTATGTTTTCATCTCTTAGTATGTGGGAGGTACGTGAACCATTTGTGTATCTGCATTCGGTCCATACCGCTCAATGCTATTATTGCTGAATATAGTTTCCTCTTCTGGATTGATGCATATTTCCGTTGCATAAGCTTTAACTTTGTGCCTTTCAAAGTAGTGTTCCTGCGTTCTTTTTATAAGACAAACGTATTTTTCCTAAATACATCAGAACCCTCGTCCCATCCCGCAAGTTTGTTGTGGATTCTGCTGAATTCTGTACTTTAGTTGTTCTATTTATCGTTGCCAGGCATATACTGGTGCGCCGGGCCCTAAATACTGAGACTTCTCAGTACTTGGGGCACTGCGCACCAATACATGCCTATCAGCGATACCATAATTACGTTGTCGCTGACAGATGTGATTTGTTGTTCTTTGTTTTTCCATGCGATTCTTGCTTTATAAACGGAAGGTCTTTCGCAGATAGCGGTGATATTTGACTTTCAGCTATTGATCTTTATAAATGTTTGTCCTTGCAGGTTCCTCCTAAACCCGGGACATATTTTCCATTCGCTAGTGGAACTCATGTGTGTCCCGGTAGTGAGCTAGCGAAGCTGGTTATATTGGTGTTTATGCACCACCTCACCACCAAATTTAGGTGTGTGCAGTTCTTCATTGATCGCATAGATGCACGTATAGTGTGGAGTCTATAGTATCATATTTAACCTTTACCTCCGGATATTGTAGTTTATTGTCATTGTATTCCAAGCTTTACCTCGACCTGCCGCATTATCAGACTACTCACTTGGTTTTGATGGCTCACAGGTGGCAGAGTCTGCAACCAGATACAGGAACAGTTTTCAAACCATTTCCTTTACCGAATGGTGGTTACCCGATCAAATTGGAGAGGAAGGTTCTTTGAGGTCTCAATATGATTTCTTCAGAACACTCTGTCTTCTGACGACACATTAAAGTAGAATAAGATCAATACCAGGTATAGGATTAGATTGATGTGGACTTTTATACGAGAGCTGTTCCAGATCTAGGAAAATGTGGTAGGTGGTAGTTGGTGGCATCACAGATTCAGCCCTCCGATGACATCATTGAAAATAAAGTCCTGATGAAATGTGGAGATGTATATAAAGATTATCCCGAATGCCACAATTCAAGATTATATTCTGCCAATAAATAGGAAATTTATCTTACGATATTGATTATTTTCTAATGAGATTAGATTATATCCAACTAATACTCATAATACACTCAAACAATTACACTAGTAATCCATCTGTTCCACATAAATAGGTGTTTATGTGCTTAAGACATCATATAAATGAAATTGCATACAACAATGCATTAGAATATACTTTCTGGACTAAATAAAAACTTTGCATCACATCATAATTTTTATATTAAAAGCTTATTAAACATATATGAACACGAAACATATTCTTTCTATTTTGAAATGTGTATGAACACGAAAATCTTAATTACTGAGTGACCAACATAAAAACACTAATGGTGAACTATCATGCTTTCAATCACTCAATTTTACTTCATAGAACGAAAATAATTGAAAGATATACAAGGTAAATAGATTCGTCGGCCTTTGTACCAACGCTAGAAGACGATCAAAGAAGCATCTAACTACTTAACTGGTGGTTTCACTGCAAATACTACTCTAGCTTTTTATTGCCGTGACAATGGTTTCCTTCTCGTCGTACCAGTATCTATGTCTTCGTCATGTTACGGCAAATTGCAGTATCTAGATTCTCTCGATTCCGGGAGCGATGGAAAAAGAAATCACTTCTGATCAATCCGTTATGCATACTTTACAGCTGTCACATACATCATTTAGCTCGATATACTACTTCTGATCAGTCAAGCACATAATGTCGTATAATTTATAGATAAGAATTGGTACAACATCGTCTTGAGAAATGCAATTTTTTATTACTGGAGAGAGATGATGTTTTTCATCTGTTGTGCTGATGTGATACCATCAAAACGAGTTTCAGACTTCGTATTTTAATGGGACGTAGATTCGCCTACCCAAAAACTTTATGTGAGCTTGAGAGACCTCCGGCAGCGCTGAAAACTGGAGGATAAAGAAGATTGTCTTGGAGATCGTCTTCATAACGGCAAATTGAAACCGTGTGACAGAAATAAACATGAAAACTGCATACTATCACACAAGAGTGTGCATTCAAAACCACGAACAGGATCCTGCTGTTGCTCTTCTCCAGAATCTTAATATACTGTCAAAATGCACCACCTTCTAAGTAATGGGATTGGGATGCACACATTGAAGCTAAAAGATAATGGTGACAGACTGATTCATAGCAATCGACTTGAGAACCACTTCGAAATTAACGCAGTGTGGCAAATGGGTTCGGCAAATGTCTTTACTGATTCGATACGTGATTTCAGCTAAAAATCATGAAATATCATTTTGACTTGCTGGTCTTATGTTCAGTCTCATCATGCACAGCAAATGTCCACATCACTGTCTTGTAAGTATACGCACTGACTTTGCCACCATGATAGGTCTCTCGTTTTCCTAAAACATTTTTTCACTAAATGACCTCATAGCGATGGCCGAGTCCTCAGATTCTGATCGTCTAACTTGTAACACAAATACAGGTCAAGGTCTATAATATAACCATTCCAAGCTCCTGATCTGCTGGAAGGTGCTGGCTGCTGCAACACACCCGTAGAAGAATGCAAACAAGTGCGAACGTGCAGAAATTCGGTCCATGACAATCGAATGCGATCAGAGCCATTTAGCTGCGACGAAGCCGGTGATGGCAACCATCAGGCTGGTCACCACGCTTGCTGCTGGCAGCAACACAGAAGCTGCTGATGTTCCCATAGGTGCTGGTGCCGGAGCGTGTACATGGCCCTCGTGTGCCAAAGCTACTCCGATGCTGGACACTGCCACAGCGGCGATCAAAACCTTAGAGGCAGCTGATCCCATGGTGGAAGCCATTTTACTGTCGTGTAAATGAAAACGAGGGGAAGATTTAAGAACTGGAACTTGAGAATAGGTGTGGAAGAGGGTGAGGTGAGCTTCTTGATCGAGCAGAGTTGTTGAGTGGTCGACGGATTCGGTTCGGAAAATGTTCGATCACCGAACAACTCGACTGCGAAACAAGGTGAGGAAGGAGAAAATGAAAGACGATGAGTCCTGCTGAACAACCAAACTATATATATACGCGCCAGGCAATCTTCAAGCCTTTGCCAACGGACGAAAAATGACACTGTCCACCATCGATCCCTCACTCGTCTGGCTCTCTGGCACTTGTCTGTCGGTGAAGTGAAGCGAAATTAAAGCCTTGAGGTCAGGGAAAACGAGCTACTGGTATCTGTCAGCTTGCCACAGTCATTCTCTTCCTTGTCCTTAGAATTGCCTGCTCTTGTGAGGACCGCTTGATTTGATAACCATCGATAACCATGAGCATTGGCTTCTCAAACACAGAAAAGTCAACAACAGGCAACATAAATTTTCATCATAAACTAATCGAAGCTCTCAAGTTACTGGACGCCGTCGACATGGGATCCAGTACAGGAAATACTATTCTGTTCAGCATCAAGCAACTATCACCTTCAAGCTCCTGCCTGAAAGAAAACAGAACTGCCTGTACAGGTCGTGGCTGATTGCATTCCATTTTTAGGTGCCCATGGTGTGCTCCCGGAGCTCTGCAACCATTATCACCGGGCTATGAGGTTCCTGTCCTGTTAGAACGTACTACCTTTCTGGATTCGAAGCTACTGGTCTGGACCGTTTTCATCTGGACTTAGAAAATGGCTGTTGGAATGCTTGCTCACCAGGAACCAGGGAAAGGAGCATTGACCGGGTTGAGCATGAACACGGGGGGCGAAATTGCTGAAGAATGCAGAGAAATCGATGCATCTGGATCAAAACACGATATCTCCAGACACGGAAGTAAAGTAAAAAGAAAAGATAAGAAAAGAATGGAGTTCTTAGATTTACCGTACGTACAATTCAGCCTCATCGTACAGCGAGAGGGGAAGAGGGCTGGCTAAGCTGGCACAGCGTGATCTCAGACATTGTATGTGAGCGAATAAACAATGTGAGGTGTCAGAGGCTGGCACGCAACGAAAGAGGGGCAAGATCCGTGATCGTGGTGATCCGGAGCATCGTTCTGGCTTGTACAGTGCGGCTGTAATCGATTCGTGTTCGCATAGTGGCAGAACATCGAGTCCAACACGGGGGAATGCAAAAGCTCCCGCGGTCCAGATTGGGACGTCATAATATAAATGAGGAATGCTGTGAAAGAGTACTCATCATCATCATCATCTTCTTCTCGTCTCGCCTTCTCTTTCGAGTCAGAGTTGCTCCACATCGACGCTCAGCTCTTCCGATCCGTCGACAGGTGAACTCTACTCGAACGAGAAGCTCAAGCACAATCTGAGGCCTGCGGATTCCTCAGTCACCGTTCCATTTGCTGCACCCGTCTCCCTTTTCTCAAACACGATGGCCTCGACCATGCGATCAGCTGTGGCCAAGGTTCTGGTGGCGGCTGTGGCAGTGTCCGGCATCGGACTCGCTCTGGCCCACGACGGTCCTGCCCACGCCCCCGCGCCAGGACCCATGGCAACGTCGGCAGCGTCGGGCTTGCTGCCGTCCACTTTCGTGACCAGCATGATCGTCGCTGTGACCGGGTTCGTCGCCGCTCGATGCCTTTGATCTCACTCACTAGCCACTGGCCGTCCGATTAGTAGATCTGGATGATTCCGCCATGAGCCTTCATTATCGGATCGGATTATATGGAAGCAGACTTGTTGGCATTTTGTAGATCTTTGATATTGTATAGAAGTCATGGTGGTTCTCCTTCAAGCTACATCATTGCAGAAGTAGACTTGCCATTGAGAATTTAATTCTTTGGCAGAAACAAAAGAGGAGGAAGTCGGGAGAGCTTTCGGAATGGTGGTAAAAGTCCTTTGGTCTCGATTGGAGGAACTCTTATCAACTAGGAAGTGTGTCCAACATTGTAATTCATATATTCACGTCATGAGTAAAGATCGCTCTTAAGACACTCGCCGAACCTGGTGCCTACTTTGAGTGGTAGTGTGTTGTATCACGGATTCCCATGAGCATTGATTTTTCAAGGTTTAGAGTGAAGATGATTTTCTGGGTATGATTCGGAAATTTAAGTTTAGCTTGTGCCTTTTCATTTATTACTCATTTGTACTCCGCAGAGTGCTCAACCTTCACTGCGCAAATGACCACATTCCAAGCACAAAATACTTTTTACGCGAGCATTCCATATATTCTCTCATGGGATGAATATTTCCAGAGGTGATAATAACTTGTCGATTAACTTCGTTTATTGTCCGTTACTTTAGTCAAGTAAAAAAGTTCTACTCCTTAAGACATGCTGTATCATGAACAACAATTTAATTTTAACAATTTGACTTCCAATTTTGTATTATAAAGATTGGAACTTTCCGTTTATGGCTCTTAGAATCTGAAAAGTAAGTATATGCAGTTAATTCAGTGAAAAAAGCCTGCACTTTGGATTTCACCATGGCATAGCCAAGAACTATTTCACAACCTGTTCCCATATAATGGAATTGATTTCTGCCTATCTATTTGGTTAAATAAAGGATTTTGGCTCACTAAAGTACATTCATTTTAGGCAGATGAATCACAATTGCATTTTATTGCTCAAACCGAAATGTTTCACCAGATAATTATTTAAATACGTTCACAAGTTGCAATTGTCATCACTACGTATCTGCATATGACTTATTTGGAAAATAGGAAATTTCCCGTTATCTTATACATGACCACATGACTTAATAGACACCTTAATATATGTCATCACCTATGACTTAAAATTCAAAATATATGTCAAAAGTGCATATTTAGATGTTTCCAAATTAACTTCTGAACCCCCATACTTTGACATATCAATCATAAGTGTCTTGAAACAATAAGACATCTATTTGGAGGGTATAATATGTATCTTTCGCACATCTGGCATGTACTGATGAAAGGAAGTTACAATATAGAACATGTATGAACAAATTGTTAACAAATGTGTTGAAATTTTCACCGGATTTTTTCTCTTCCCGTCCTTTATAAATGGAACTCATCTCTCATTTGAAGTTTCAGGTGTCTCAACACATTTGTGAAGAAGCATGCACATTGTTGAATTATTTTTGCGTAAAGTCTTGTTTGACTCATATAACAAATAGATTCTTTTTCTCCACTTCTATTTACAAGCACAAAAAGATCTTTTGAAGATTTTTGATATCAACAATTTCAACATTAAAGGTTTTACTTCTGAGTTTTCTTCCCATTGCTATCAAGTATTAGACAATAAAATATTTTAGCTACGTTTGTTCACCTTCTTACTCCGATGTTAACAAAAAAAATATCACCTAGACTCAAAAATCTGATCTCTATGATATTTTATCTTTTTTCTCTGAAGAGGTGACCTTATCCAGCAATGTTGAGCTCCATCTGCTTTTGAGTTCTTTGATTATAAACATACACTATCTTCAAATCATTATATTCAAACACATACCGTTGTTATCCATACGTAATATCCGGCTGGCTCCCATACCGGAACCCATTCCACCGCATTCACAGGATAACTGGGACGGGTGGTCGTACACTAAGTGTTCGCATGGCTCACATTTTCACACGTGGTACATCAAAGGTTCGTCCGCAACCGCGACGGCAATTTCCTTCGGTCCTGACTTCCTACCACGTGGAGCTTCGGTCTGCAAAATCTTTTACTAAAGCGTCTACCATCGACACGATGGCGGTCAAGCTTTTAGGCGGCATCGCCATCCGCTTACCCTTCTTCTTTCGAGCAGCCTTCTTCCGCTGCCGCTCATCCTCTGAAGACGACGAATCTTCAAACTCGTTACTTTCTTCCGAGGATGAGGAGTACTAAGACGAAGGAGTTGCCGGTTTTAGCCTCCTCCGGCTACTCTTGGTTTTCCGCTCATCAACCGGTCGATCCTTCTGTTTTCTATTCAACGTGGAAGTTTCATAGGCCTCAGCCGAAATAATCACATTTTCAATCGTGTTGCATTTACTACGGCGACAATACGTCTCCATTTCTCGCGGCAGTTCAGTCACGTACCAATCAATCGCATGCTGGGTAGAATATGGGACGCCTTCTAATACTCATATCTTTATGTTAACACATGAGCTAGACCTGAAATAAAAATTTAAACATTCTCTATCTTCCACTCTACAATCAATAAAAACTTTGAAAAATACTTTTTCGGTGTCTAAGATCAATTTTCTTTCAAAATGACGAGTTTACGTAAACAAAACATACAAAATCACTTCTATGCTATCATATGAGACTACTGGATAGACAAAGAGAATTTCACTCTCATGCATACTCTCCGCTCTTTCATTACCCAATATTAATTCCAAGTGATACCTCATGGACATTTTTTCTCGAGCTAAAAACCGAATCCTAAACATTCCACCTTCTAGATTGAGGTCCCGACAACTGAACCAAAAATGCAACCTCGGGGCTGACTCTCACTCAGGTTTACCTCAGAGTGCTTTTTGGTAGCTCATCATGGTTCTAGAAGACTAGGATTCCTCATCATACTCATAGTCCAAACACCCTTTCACACAATCCATCTACGTATCATTCCAACTCACACACTCATCGACACTCCAAGGTATTGAAAATCGTCACTCCTTCATATATGAAACATGTTTTTACATATGAATTCTCCAGACTTTCTTGAAGTGCTTTTCTCTACTTTTCTATATATACTATTTGAAAATTTACCATAGTAAAAAATGGTAATTCCTATCTAACTTACTTTTACAAAGATAAACCATAGTAAGGTTGACTAGTTATCAATATGTGTCAACATGCCATTGGCCTCCTAAACCTTCTAGATATTTATTAATTCCTAAATTGAGGTGGCGACACTTTCCACTAAGTCAACATAGTCTAACCAATGGAGTACTCCTTACTTTAGTTAGACCAATCAAAACTAAACATGAAATCAAAAAGTCTTTTCACTTGAAATCTAGACTTTTGTACAAGACAAAATAGAAGTGCTCACTCAAATCTTCTAGAACTTCTCTAGTTATTCCGCCAAGTATAGACATTATAGCTAAACTAGCTAGACTTAGTCATAACTATTATAATCATGATTAACTCCTTGGCTAATTCTAGTTTTATTTTACACATGCAATACCTGGTCTTACAAAGCGCAGAAAAGTTTGAATTTTCAAATGGCTGGCTTGATGGTTTCAAAACAGGGTTTGACATCAAGTCTTTTTGCAAATTTGGTGAAAGCGGCTCGATTGACATGGCTTTAGTTGAAGATGCTTGTCCACTACTACGCCAAATACTCGACCGGTATGACTGGAAAGATATATACAATATGAATGAAACCGGCATATTCTTCAGAATGCAAGCAGATAATTCGCTTGCAACAAAGCTCCTTGAAGGAAAGAAGCAGAGCAAAGTGCGTCTGACCCTAGCAGTCTGCTGTAATGGAAATGGCAGCGACAAATTTCCTCTTTGGGTTATTGGAAAAGTCTTGAATCCGCACTGTTTCAAGAGTATGAATCAAACCAATATTGGATGCATATACCGTGCAAACAAGAAAATCTGGATGAACCAAGTCATCTTTACCGAGTGTATCGAATGGTTTGATGCATGCATGGCTGACCACAAAGTTCTCCTCATCCTTGATAACTTCTTTGGTCATCTCTCAATTGATGCGTTGCCGCCCATGCGCAATACCACCGTCCATTACCTCCCACCAAACACAACTTTGAAATTACAGCCCTGTGATGCGGGGATAATCCGCTTTTTCAAGGTCTATTATCGGTGTTGCTTCAACTTGAAACTCATGGAGAACATCGAAGCAAAACGTGCTGATCCGGAGAAAATTGATGTACTCGAAGGGATATTACTAGTTGTTGAAGCGTGAAAGAAGGATGTAAAGCTAGAG